ATCAGATCAGGAATCGTTATAGCTCTTTTTTTCTTTGTGCTGATGCGCCAAAAATTGCATTGCAAAAGTTTTTTTTTTTAAATAAATACATAATTGAATCTGCCAAGGAAATTGTGAATTGCATCTGATGAACACCGGTCTCACTTCTTGCTGCTGACATTTTAAAGTAGAACAATAGATTGATGTCCATTGACATACTCCTTTTTGCCATTGTAAACTGAATTGTGTTTTTTTGCAGTCCCATTTGTTTTGAACATCAATAATGGCTCCGTGTTTTTCCCACTACATGCTTCAGTAATTTGAGCACTTGAGTCACCGCATGCAGCGCTAGTGTATCAGTCACCTCGTGTGACGTGTCCCATTAGCCTCCAGCTTCTGCCTAATCTGAGATGAATCAGTTGCCATCTGATCCTAAGCGATCGGGGCAGCGAGCGAATGTCACTTTTAGTGCACAATCACTTCACCCTCATGATGACAATGTTGAGGACTACACTTGTTTACGGGGAAACGTTGATGAGCAGGTCAAAAATCATTTTCAACAAGCAGAATGTAAAAAGCGATGGCAGTTTGGACTCATCATTTCTGCAGAAAGCGGACCCGACCTAGCGGCAGGGTGGGCTCCTCCTCCGGTAAAAGGCTCATAATAATCATGTGCCTATTTGACCCGGACACATGTGATCACTATAAGTGGTTTCCACTGTATGCAGAGTTTTGCAGGGGGAGGGAAAGCGAGAAAGGCAAAAAGGAACAAAATGTAACTTGATTTGTTCATGATTCTATTTAGCTATAAATGCCACTAAAGTAGAGGAAGGTTCCAGAGCGTGAACACTTTGTATGACGAGCAGCACAGGAAAAGGTCTCCTGACACACGCTGACCCAGTGTCTTTGTTTAGGAGCTTCCTGACTGCATCACTTTAGCTTGAAGTCATGGTTTGGGACTCGTTTTCTTCTAAATAGTTAGAAGAAAACGCCAGCCAGCGATGAGACCACCAAGTTTGAAGTTAGAATATGGCTGGCAACATTAGAATGGTTTGAACAGTACATTCAGCAATGGCTTTTTCAGGGAGGAAGAATAATTGGCTGAGCAAAGTTTCTCTCATTTGTATGACAGGTTCTTCAAACTGATTAACAGAAACTTAAGGAATGGACAGAACTACACATTTCACTGGCACATCCAGAGGAACGGCCACGCAAAATAGGATTCATTCCTCTGAAATTAAAACGCGATTGTTCCGATATGATAAAAGTGGGAAGGATGGTCCTGACATCATGCGCTGGGTGATGAGTTGAACTGGTTCCCAGCAGGCTGCCAGATCAAAGCTCAAATAAAGCCAAAGAAATCTCAGATCTGTTAAAAATTATCTGAAAAAATAATGCGTCTCAGAATGTTGTTTATGGATCACACATTCCAGCTTGACTGGGAATAAAAAAAACAGAAAACCCCCCAAAAATACATAATTGCATAGATACGGACATCTAAAGAGTAATTAAAGCTCTCATTGTTACCAAATATGCTACCAGACAGCACTTTAATACGTCACAATACTTAAATTCCAATCAAGCAGCAGCTATTGCAAAGCCCGAATCATCCTTTCAGTGTTGGTGCAGTGCCCAAGTTCAAAACCCTCTACAACCTGTGCTCAAGCCGCACCCATAAACCCTAAGCGGACGAGAAAAACAGAAGGCATCATTTCAGTAATCAAGAGTCACCAAAACAGAAAGTAATCAAACCGGTAAAGTGATGCTCCCTAATAACAAGCAAAACCTCCTCCCTCTTCAGCTGGATTCTCCTCCGCTCAGTTGGATTCCGTGTAATTGCTCTTGTTAATCATGCCTTAATTTGTTGACGAGATTCATTTGGGAGGCTCGTCTTGAAAACATCACAATCTCTCCCAATCTGGGGATGGCAACACTCTTGAAATTAAGGGCCAGATTAAGTGATTTGAGGAGCTAAGGAGATGTCGCCCGGGAACGGTGCAGCCGACGATCAGCAGAGCTTATCAAACCAGTAGAGCCAATGAGCCGCTTGTTGACGCCGCATTTGTTAAGAAACAGCTCACTCCCATATTGTTGATACTGTGGTGATGAATAACACTCGTATGAATAATAACGACTTTACCTTTATTTGAAGGTGTTTTATGAAAGATTGCAACGGTCTGTTGTAGCTCCTGAAGGGCTCCGAACATGACAAAGGCCGAGCTGGTGGCGAGCGGCAGACAGCGCCAGTAGAGTAGCAGTGTTTACCTGTGGGCCTGGAGAGTCTGGGCCCCCGGTGAATGTGCCGGTACCCATCAACACTTAGTTCATTTAACCACCTGATCTGTGTGAACTGTGCTTAGTATTTCACTGAAGAGACGCGTGAATAGAACAGAAGCAGCGAGGACGTATTTCACACTATACAGCTGCTTTTTGTCTTATTTGTGAAGGATTACCGGCCGTATCCAACACACAATTCACAGTGTTCTGAACTGATCGACATTTTACTGCTTTTGAACTTTTTTTTTTTTTTGCTTCTTTCGAATTTAAACTCTGCACCAATTCTAATAGACTCTTTTGTTCTGTCTGCTGGAGTGACCTGATGAAATTGTGTGCACCGGAATGTTGAATATCTCTGACTGACAGTGAAGGGGACAGACTGCACGAGTCCTTTTGTTCCATCAACCGTCCAAACCTTTACATTTCTTTCTCCGAATGTTACAACGTTTTACTTCGCCTGGGCAAGTAGAGACCACCGTTTCACCCCAAAAGCCCCCAGAGCCCGAGGCAGGCATGTCCGATAAGGTCGGCATGCTTTCACGCTCACAGTGACACAGACCTATGCCGTGCAAATCTATAACGTAAAACATGTTTCGAAGTCATTGCAGGCAAAGACAATATATATTTAAAGGTGTATCGAGTGTCCTGGTTTAGTTTTTGGTGAGTACGATAGAAAATACAGAGGATCCAGCGTGGCTGAAGCTGAACGGAACATTTTACAGACCGATGAACGACGTTGCGATTTGTTAATGAGTGTGTAAGCACTAGAGAATCAGCGTCAAATAAAACAATACGGGAAACATTTGAGACCGGGATGCAAACAGGGTGGCCAGCTCTGAGGCTCGGGTACAGTCCCAACATCCTTTTAAGATACAAGGGAGAGATTATCACTCAGCCCTTAAAGCTCAGTCAAATCATCTCGCTCTCCCTCCACCACCGGGCACCTGCCACAAGACTGTTTGAAGTGGGAGAGTGGGAGGAGGAAGGGCACACCTGTTAAGGTGGAGATATCAGCCCGAGCGGATGTTTGTGTATATATATAAAAAATAAAAAAAGAATAAAAATGGCACATGCACGAGCGCACACACACACACACACACACTCTTGAGTTTTGTCCAGATGCTGTTCTTCTGCATCTATGACCTCCTTATATTCCTGGCAGAAGGTTGCATGAGAGGTCGGTCTCTGTCAAGAACGTTCTCACTGCACTGCTGAGTTGGTCTGAACTTACAAAATAGGAACCATAACTTTTCCCCAAATAGCCGGTGATCGGTCGATATCCAGTCGCTGTCTTTTCCCCTCTGGAGGAGGTGAACGGAAAACATTTTGTGTCCGTGTTGCAAGGATAAAATGCAAGGAAATCTCCACGATGCCTCTAAAGCTTCAATCATCAAGCTCCATTATACTATAGTCCAAATGAAGCACAGAAGGATACTCACGGTTTCTCTTCGGATCACTGAAGCAGAGGAAACCAGCTCAACTAAATGGCAGTCACTCGGAAAGGCTGCTCTCACCCCTAGAAAGCCTTATCCAGCCAAAATGACTCACATCCCCTTCTCCCAACCTCTGTCAACCGTCGGGGGAGGTAAACATTTCCAAATATGGAGAAAGTATGGAGACGGCATTGAGGGCAATATCAGTTTGGTTTGCTTTTTGAACACACGCCGCACAGAGCCAGCGCTGTGGTGCATACCTTAGTAATAGTAACGACAACCCCACACCAAGTCCGGCACAAGACGGCTGACACACTGAGCCGCAGTACCAAACCAACAGACAACGCGACCAAAGCTTGCAAAGCTGTAAATGTGTATCACGGTAAATTTGGCAAACGGCGCGGAGAAATAGACGCCATTCACTTCCTATTTGTTCATCGGGCGGCCGAGGCCAGATAAGAAAGCGAAGAGGAGGAGCCGTCTCGTCACACTGACTGTACCCGAGTGATTAAGAAAGTATAATTAAAGGGTGAAAGTCTGATTGCTCCCCGGCGGTGCCGTGGGTCAGCGGAGCTCCTGGTTACACTAGCAGCAGCGAGGGGGGGGGAACAGCTCTCTGTCCCGCTGGTGACTTTCCCGCTGTGTGATGGTCGGGTAACACTGACATAATCCCTGTAGGCCTGAATCTGGGGGATAATCTGATTTGTAGCGATGCCAAAACAAGAAAACAGTGATCCGTCGTCGTGGTGATCTGTCGGAGGAGCGGATGCCACTTTTGGAACGTTTTCTAAATTAAAGTCAAACTCCAAGATCATAGTCAATGTAGCGTGGACACACAGCGGAGTTAGCAAGGTAGCTAGCTAAGTAGCCAGTCGGAAAAATGAGTAGAAACGTGACAAACTGAACCTCCTATGTGTGCTGGAATACCCGCAGGACAGCGGCAGCACTTCTGTGATGGGTCACGTCCTCGTCGGGGCGTCGCCTGTAACAAAAGGTCCACGCAGCCTCGTTCACATATGCGGCAACGCGTCTTCCCTTCATGGGAATGCAGTACTCAACTCGCACTGAGGGTTAGGGAGCATCAAGTGCTCGCACTGAGAATCAGGCAGGCATATTTGGGCTTTTTCTTGAGCTACTTCCAAGTTCCCCGACCATCCTCATGGGAAAGTCTGTGACGGCCTCAGAGAGACTTTGTGCTTCAACTGCAAAACATGACCTTCCAAACGCAAGTTCCCCTGCTGCCCAAAACAAAAGACAACAGCAGAGAGAAGTAATAAACAGACACGCACTAGAAGATTAAAAAAAACTTACCTTGTCTCCACTCTGGATGTGCAGGATTGCTGGAAGGTTGTCGAAGCGATGCCCTTTGCCTCGTAATGAAATCTGTTGAGATTGAGAAGCTCTGGATCATTCAAACAGAACACGTGAAAAGAATTCAGCTACGCAGGACAATGAGTGCGTCGGTTTATCAGAGGACAGACGAGCCACAGGCTGCGTCCCATAAATCCTGCACGGACCCGAGTGTTGGTCTTCAGTTTTGAGTGTCATTTCTCTGTCACCCTTCACCGCAAAGACACGGCTCGGGGGAAAAACAAGGCTGCGGTGCGACGATTATTCAGTGAAGAGAACGAAGACTGCGACAACCTCGCGAGGCCCAGGTCGACCGCGGCTTTCCAACAACTGCAACACCAAGTATAAAGTATAGTACGCACTGCCAGAGACACACACACACACACACATTTATACACAGAAATGTGCGTGTGTCTCAAATGCCAGACAAAGTGAAGTAGACTAGAAGGTCTCTAAAAGTAACACGTCATAAGAAACCAAGAAAGACTTTTTCACAGCACTGTATACGGCTGAAGGGAGTATAGAAGCACTCAACGGAAATGATGGAAATCATTTTACTTTTATGTCGTTATCCTGAGAATGATAATTTCATGTTTTTTAGAAGACGTTGAGTGCGGCTTTTGGCTTAAACCATTAATATACCTGCTCGAGTTGGTGTCTAATAACCATGGAAACTCGGTCGCTACATAATTAGAACGTCTGCGTCCTCGTTGCCGATAAAATCCAACGTGCATCAAGCACACGAGCAGAAAGAGAAGAAGGTTCCTTGAGACGTTAAAAGCAAAAAAGGAGAGAAGTGCTTTTTGAAAGACAACACTCGCCTCTACTCTGACTCGAGCATTAGACGTGCTACGAGTACCGTGAAACACCTTTTCTCCAACGCACATGGACTCAAGGCAACCGCGTTGTTGTACAACGCAGCCTCCCACACGTCACACCCCGACGGAGAGCGCAGCGGGCGCCGACGCGTCCACGCCTCCTGTGACTTTGGTGTCATTATCTCAACGCACACCTTTTACTCCAACACGACGTCCCCCCCAATTCTCCAAAAAAATACCTTACAAAAAGCAAAAAGGCGTTTGCCCGTTGGGTGCGTCACTTACCCTTCGGCTGTGTTACAAACACCACTTCGCTTTTAGTTTATCAGCCCTTCCTCAAAACTTGCCACCGTGAACTTTGACCCTCTTGATTACATATTTGACGCGCAAAGGACTGTGGGTGGGAATGGCCTCAGACGCGTCCTGATGTTTTGGCACGCTTCATTTGAAATACTTTATATTGGGAGATGATATTATTTTCCTGCATGAGAGTCCTGGAAACATCAGTGTGGCCCAGATTCACGCAGATGTGCCGAACAAATACACGGAACCCGTAGCAGGTGACATGGAGGTGGTGGTGACATTTCCATTCTGATCTAAAACGGTTCACTTTGGGGTCCCGAGGAAACCGCGGCTGTTCCTTCCATAAAAAGGGACGCCCTCATTAGAAGAACACAAACAGCGGAGCAGCTCGACCAACCCTACCAGGGGGGCCCGGGCTCAAAGACAGCCGAGGCGCTCGTCTTTTAACTTTAACATCATCGACGCTGTCAAACGGGGGCTTTTTAACCCGAGGATTTTAAAGACAGTTCCGTTTAATGTTGCCGGAGTGAAAAATGTGTCGCGGCAATGCAGATGTATGCGGTTTGATGGCAGCACTCTCGGGGGGACCTTGGTGTTTTTGATTTGAAACATCTGAGACCAAGTTTGAGTCTTTTGGAGAAGAAAGTGAAACTTATTTTTCACGTTAGGGACATTCTACGGCAGGACAATATTGTCTGGACCCGGGCTCTTATTTATCTTCACAAAAGATGAAGGCACCTAACAAGGTTAATCTACATTGGGGGGTCCTCAGTTTAACATCTATGTGGGACGGACACGAGTAGAACACAAAACTAAAGTAACATTTGATGCCAATAAACATGGATAGAATTTCCCTCCGTTCCTGAATGGGATTAGTAAGACTGTCCTTTATGAAGAGTAGGCGGACAATAGGACACAAACTGACACTTTGACGGACTCAATGTCCTCCAGGGAGGACAGTCCCTTCATTTAGCACCGATGGTTCACGTGTTGTTGGGGAAGTGGTCACGGGACAGAACCGGCACCGTGCAGGGTTCGGGACTTCCGGTGGCACCAGGTTTGACCTGTTCAGTAGCGCTGTCTCGTCCTCTCATTCACACGTGACACCGTTCACGGGCCGCGACAACGTAAGCAAAGACGTCGTCACGTGCGAATGTATGAAGAAAACACGACTATTGGACACAACTATTTCAAACTGTGTCTCAAACACCGCCTACACAAGGTGTGCGAACGGCGAGGCGAATCACTGCCGCCGCGCGGTTAATTCGCTTCTAACGACGAGGCCGAGGCCAGCGGACGGTCCCCCCCCCCCCCCTCCTCCTCCTCCCCGGCTCACGGGCAGCCTGCGGCGGGGGGGGGCGGGAGGCTCGGGACCCCCGCCGAGGCGTTGTCCCCCGTGGACATGTCGGTCTTCCGCATTGCTCGGCAGCTCAGCACTCGGCTATAAACAGAAACAGCCGAGACGCCCAGAGTCCCGGGGGGAGTGGGGGGGGAGAAACTTGACGGGCGTCTTTTCGGAAGCGAACGCGTGACTGAGACGAGATAGCGGCGGCGTCGGTGCCCTCGTGTAACGTCCGCGTCTACCGCGAGAGTCCACGCCCCTCACCGGGACCTCCGCGCCACACCAACGCTCATATCGGAGCCCGACAAGGCCGAACAAACTACCGCCGCACCTCAAACTACACGCGCGGGGTTAAACGCGGCCGAAAACCACAAGCACGCTCGAGGCTCGTCGCGAGCGCTCGACGGTTCCGCTTACCTCGCTTTCCAGGGAATGAAACGAGAGGCTCCAATCCCGGGGAGAAACAAGCGAAACTTCTTGATCCAAATTCTGGGAGAGTTTGTAGGCGGTGACGTCACGCGCTGAAATTCCAGCCGTCTCCGTGAGTCGAGAGGTTTGCCCATGTAAGGCAGCAGGCCAGCGGTGTCCCCGAGACGGGACACCGCGGGACAGGAAAGGGGCTAGAGACGAGTCATCCTGTAACGTGTCCCCGTCTTGATAGTTCTGATTCGATGTGTATATTTATGCACACCGGCAAAAGGGGATCCTGTTTAACGACATTCAATAGTGTACATTAAGGTACGCTTTTGCACGGGGATTTTAAAATATATGTTTTACAAATGCATCTCAACAGAGAACTTAACACTTCTCTGACCATGACGATAATAAAAACTTACAAGATACTCTTAAAGAAGACCCACTTCAGACTAATTAACGCCAATTAATTCAGACGAGGACTATTATTTATAGCAACGGTAACTGACCTTATTTGTGTATTATACATTTATATTGAATAATCAACATGAATATTGCAGGGATTTTTTTATTTATAGAAATGGAGGATTTCCCCCCAACGTATCCAGCCGAATGAAGGCCCGAAAATTGGACAAAGGGCTTTCAAAAAATATGCAGCTGAAAATGAAGTAGCTTAGCAAGAGTTTTAGTGCTAACAAAGCCAAAGCCTTCTGAGCAATAAGGTGTGAATAGGCACATGCTGTAGGTTGAACAGTTATAAAATCATACACAGCGTGCAGCACTACCTTTCTTCTTTGTCGAAGCTTCAAAAGCTTGATACACGTGCAGGCCAGGATCAGATGTCCAGCAGAGCTGTGGCTTCATGTGGCCCCGGTGCTTTTTGCTATGCAAACCAGACAGAGTGCCTGCTTGTTATTGCATGCAAATAGGATAACAGCTTTTTGTCACCTCTGATTCTGTCCTCATGGTTTATCACCCAAGTGTTGTCGATCGTAGCATTGACATTGTGTGTGTGTGTGTGTCATGTGCATGCAAATACATCCAGACACAGTTTATCTCTGCGAGAAATTACTCCTTAATTACTAATTAGTTTCTATGTCGTAGTTTAATGAAAATCTTTTTAGAGGCTGAATAGAAAAATGAAAATAGAGAAAGAAGAGGAAGAAGAAGAATTCACTCTGAGCACATTTTTAACCGATGATTCTTACTTTACTGCAAACTGATTACATTGTGCTCCGAGCAGTTAATATCGTTTTTTCCACCATGCATGAGGAAAGCATAAACAGCGCTTTCAGATCGAGCACACTGATAAAAAAACAAGAAGCGATTTGTGCTATTTTAGTGTTACTCCGTGCATCCCCTGCATCTACAAGTTCCGGGGCACGCAGAAAAAAAGAAGCTAATCTCATTTGTAATGTGTGACAGCTTATTTGCAAGTGTGCACACTGGCAATTCTTTAATGGGCCCGCCAGTGATTATTCTTCTACTGATTTTCAAAAAAACACCCTGGAACAGTTTAGGCGAAACACGCTGTCGCCTATGAACTTCAACTTATCAATCAAGCGCCAATTAACATGCTCGGTTAGAGGATATCAGGGTCCCTTTGATGTTCGGCAGTTTAGGCAGCGCAGCTACGCATCTCATTGATATGATGGGGCTAAATTCTATCCTCGCTGCTCGGAAACATATAAAAAAGAAATACTCTTACAGGTTCCACCACAACAGACAGCTGAGGCTGAGGCACGCCTGGGTGCTAGATCTTTGTCATGTTTAACTTTGCAGATTGTAATGACTATGGCGGTCGACGGGGCACAGGAAATAAGAGAAAACAACACTGTCTATCGTGTTTTTTGTGTCTAAATTGTTGGATATCCTGTTTTATTTGCTGGTTGAAACACAGCCTTCTCCCCCACACCACTTCCTCTGAAGTAGGTAAACCTCAAACACTACGCGGGAGCAGCTGCACGAGTCGATGTGTACTTCCTCTTCAACATGCCAGTGCAAGCAAGTGTTTTGGTGAGTTTTTTTGCACGAGAAAAAGACAAGCCGAGGCTTGTTTAGAAAAGGAATCGATGGCGGACGGCGACCGTGCTGACAAGGCCAGGTTACGTGACGTGACACGTGACATCTGTAGGCAACGTGGTCCCACTGTAACCCTGCAGCCAGGTCCATGTGCACAAAAACAACTTGGAGATCTTTGTTGGAATAAAAACCCAGAAACAACAAATGTGGGAACTATGTATGCTCTGTTAATTAGAGCTGAGATAGCACAGATTAGTCTTCAAGCACAACCACATTACAGAGAGTCATGCCAAATGAGGGGAGACAAAACTAGGAGAGAGGCAGACTCCGTACAAAAACAATGTCCCAAAGCTACTAATCAAACAACTCCCAATTTAGATCCAGACCTCAGATTACACTAATGAATTCTAATTCCTATGTTTTAGCATGTAAATATGTATCAAAGTGGTAGACAGAGACAATCCCTGCCTGCAGCAAAGGTTTTAGCAGGAACAAGATGCACTTGAAGTTGCACCTTTGAAGCGTTACAAGCGGCAGGGTTTTGTCACTATGTCCTGATGTCCTTATTTTTTCAGTAAACATGATCAACTTTCTTACCTCTGAGGAAATTGGATTCAGCAGCCTCTGTTTCTCATCAACAAGCGGGTCTTCAGCTTGTTAGCGCTCCATCTGGTTGATGTTATTGAACAAAAACCCGGAGAACACGTGAAGGACAGCACGTCTTCAGCAACAACATGAAGCATATCTAAAAGATCATTAAAACGGTTTATGTGTTCTGCACCAAAACCGCTAAGTGAGCTCACTCCAAAGTTGTTCAAATTCAAAAAAGGTTTGATGCCTAAAGTCTGCCAACACCAGATTAGTCATAAAACCTCTGGGTGCATTAAGTTGCTTATGAATTAAAGCAGCTTTTTTAGACAGAATGTGTTCTTGCTATTTTTAAAATGTCATTGTCCGAATTTAAACTACGAATTAAGAGCATATGAGCCTCTCCTGTCATTATGTAAAGTAAAAAACTAATTTTGATCGAATAAATTCATATTTCTACGTCTCTACTAATTGTGCTCTCAATGTCTTTATCACGCTGTGTGAAGAATGCCGAAATATGAAAAAGCGACCAGTGGTCAATGTTCAAAGGTGATGTAATCTACTCCGTTGGGTTCATATATTCGTTAATCTGACAGAAAGAGCGACGATCTGCCCCGGACGTCACTGGAGGGAAGTCGGCCTGCAGCGCGCCAGGCCCAGCTATGTAAACTCAGCACAGAGAAACTCAGAACACACAGAGGGAGGGGGGGGGGGGGGGCTTCACTCTCTGCACAGGTTGACATTTCTGCACAGATGGGGGCACCTTTAAGTTACAGCGATTATACAACACAAAAATCTCCATCAATCACCAGTCATTTTTATATTTTTGTCCATTGTTTTCATTGCATTATGAGAAACGAGGTACTGGTCCTCCTCACACAGAGGTCTCCTGTGTGCATGGAGAGAAAGGCGCAGAGCTACACAGCCCTAACAAGTCAATCAACGACAGGTTCCCCACAAGGATCATTCTCTCCAGCACAAACTGAGGCTTTCAATTCAGAGAATAAGTCTCGGAGGTATTTTTTTTGTTTTAACTGCTCTGGACGCAGACATCCCTGTCTGTTCCCGTATCAGGGGAAAAAACAAGTGGACCAGTGTCTTCGGACCATAAACCATGCTGACATTCCTGTGTTGTGAAACTACAAACATGCAGGGGAGACATTCCTAAAAACGAGAGGCGCCGCCGCTCTAGACCACACTCGACCTGCAGAGAGGGTCACGATGAAGTCCTGTGCAGCGGCTTAAAAACACAGAATTAAAGATAAAGTGCAAGTTACTAAAAGAGCTCCTTTGCTTACCTTTAATGGGCAAAGCGGAAGTTAATCCACCAAAACGTTCTAACAAGATGTCACCGCTCGGTTAGTAAGCCTGCAAGGATGTGATGGTTTCCTCAGAGCAGCAAACATTGTTAATTATTCATGCACTGTTTGTCTACAGCAAAAGAATGGCAGCGCTGGTACAAGTGTGCAAAATCAAGTCATTTGCAAATAATTGATGAGACTGTACAAAATCAGTTGCAGTGTGTAGGTTTTTTAAAGGCTTCTAGTGTAAAAGAACATTTTCTTTGGGCAAAACACACATCATTGTATGCACACACATGTTAAAATATCTGTCCCAAGCAGCGCATTACTTTTGGACACTACGTTAGTGTGTTGAGTCTTTGTGAAAAGGGTGGCACCGATGAGGAGACAGCTTTTGGAGCGTTTATAGAGATTTTCTTCCATACTTGTGTTGTGTGTAGCCTGCTGAAGTGGAGGGTTGGAGCTGAGCACCTTTTGGTGGAGGCTATAGGCAGCGTGGTGTGTGTGACGAATAGAGGCATCAGATACGGATACGGGCCGGAGACGGATTGACACATTGGCTTTGTGCAAAACCAAATACTCACATAGCATTTATATTAATTATAGTAGGCTGGATGTAAAATCGTATTTAGTGCATTCCAACTTTATGCATACATGGTGCATCGAGCAAAAGCTTCTTAGAATGAGACGTGTGCTCATCGGACATCCTCAACCGCCGCGAAAAGGCCTCGTGGTTCCTTAGCGGATCCTTAAATGATGTTAATCAGCCTTAAAACTACTGCAAGGGACTTTTATTTTGTGTGCGTTGGTTTTCTCAGGCCTCCCGTCCCCCCAGCGGTGAGGGAGTGCAGTAGGTGGCATTGTCATTGTGCTGAGAACTTCATGAAAAATAGCAGAGCGAACAAATAAACACACCATTAAACACAGAATTTAATATTTCAAACTGTTCCATATAACATCTGGCAACTAACTAGCTAGAATAGCGACACAATGAAACTTTGCAACTGAACGCCTCGAGCCCATTTCGGCGGTGATGCTGAAGATCCCACTTTCCAAACACCCACAGACTGCTCGGTGTTTTGCTGAAGAAAGACAATCCTGGAACGCCTGTGACAAAGCTTTCACTTTACATCATCTGTTGTACAGTTTGTCTTTCTCAGAAGTGCAGTTTCTCTTCACTGCGTAAATGCCAGCTAATGCAAAGCACCGGATTAGGCACTTGTGACCTTTATTGGAGCTGATAGCAGCTGCCGTGGGTGCCGGGAGCTCCGCGTTGGCACAACAAAGGGCTCGTAGCGGAGCTAGATTACAGATCTACGTGATGGCAAGTAAGTGATAATGACGAGGAGGCATTATCCTCCTCCTCCTCATGCGATAATTACCTGCAGTCGACTGCCTCCAAAGGTTATCACGCGCACGTCCTGGAGACGCTCCAGGAAACTGCACCGATGCCGCTTGTTTAAATCTGCCGGTTATGTGTGTTTTTTGTTTTGTGTCTTGCTTGAATGACTCGTCTACTTAATTAATTGATTAATGATCACTAAATACAGGCTGCATCACTCAATGAGAGGGCCACATTTTAATGAAAGGTTCATGCGCTCAGCATATTAACACACTCAACAATTAAAGTAGGTGTGGAATTCCTTTGAAAACATTGCAGGGACTATTTTCAACTTGCAGACAACAGTTGCTGCAGAGCGTGAGGCAATATAAATCTTCTATTTCCAAGGAGGAAAAGGCACATTCAGAAATACAAAGTCGATCTGGGCTTTTGAAAAAAGAAATAATCACTGTCATGAAATCAAGTTTGCATCTAGAAATTCCCCTTTTTATTTTTCTTATTTGGTTGATCCCTCTTTTGTTAATTTGATGCGGTGCGAAATTACATCAGATGACAGCGTTAATCCGACATCCTTATCAACATAAAAAAAAAAATGTAAAAAGTATTTGCCGCTGTTTGGCCCCCGGGGGGCCGGCAGCGGGGCAGCTTCTGTAACGGAATGATATGGATTACACAAACCTTGCCCTCCCCCTTCCCAAAATTCCTTACGCCTGCCAGTCAAACACATACGATGGCCGTATAAAACCCAAAGATCCCTCTGATGATTAAGGTCACTCATACGCTGCTCTGTGGAAGCCATCCTCTTATAAGCCCAGCAGAGCAGGATGCAGAGCAGGATGCAGGGCAGGGTAGAGGGCAGGGTAGAGGGGGTGGGGGCGATGACGCTATGTTGTCATTAATCTTCAGGTTCTTTCGGCCTGGAGGCTGCTGGTGACGGAGAGACGGCACAGCGATCAGAAGTTCTTTCCTGTAGTTATTTCGCCCTCTGAGACGCTGTGACCTGTTGTGGGCTTTCATCTGTGTGTTAGTCCCGAGGTCTAAGCTTCTTCACCAGGAGTTTATCCCTGGATCACACGGATCCCAGGGCTCACCGGCCATTTGCCCCCCCCGTCCCGTCCTGCCCCAACAGCTCAGTTTGTTAGGGGGGCGCTTTATGATGGAAATGTGTTGGGCCTAATTTGGCTTTTGGGGTTGGATTGGCTGATTTCTAGTCGCACTCATCCGAATAGATTATCCTGAGCAATCACACTGTCCAGATCTGTCATACATTCATATATGGATACATGTGTATTAATCCCCCCCCCGACCCCCCAGTGGTGTTTGCTTCTGTGTGTAGAGTGCTGTGATGACAGCAGCGCAGTGCTGATGCACCTGTGATGCATTTCATCAGCCGTGGAGGCCTCGACACGCTGGGACTTGTACATAACCGCTGTGGACGGGTGCATTGTCACTGGTCAACTTCTCTTTTCTAAATGATAAACATGCAGTTCCACAAAAAAAAGCAACAGTGACATTATCATTCTCTGTTTTCAGGATTTTCCTCCCTAATTTCCTCTGAGGCTTCCACATTGCTGACCTTCCCATTGACGGTGCCAGGTTGAACGGACAGCTGGTGTGATGTAATAACCCCCCCCCCCCCCCTTACAGTAGACAAGTTATAAAGAGCAATATCTAGTTCCATGGATTGAGATAAGCTTAGGTAGATTAATGCTCCAGGACACTGAAATGTTTGTTGTATAAAGCTCTGTTTATAAAACAATGTGTTGCCGTATATGAAAAAAGAGTCTAATCTGGCAGATGGCATGAGCTCCAAGAGTTCCCTCCACATTAAAGGCACTGCTGCTCCATGGTTTGTGCTCCTGTGGCTTAATGGGATTTTAGACTCTTCGTTCAAATGAATTATATATATAGGAAAACTGGGATTATTTTACAGGCTGCTTAATCTCCTTTTCCTCTTTTTTTCTACCCCCCCCTACACTCTCCAAAAACCGAGCCTGCCCCACGGTTTTCAGCATTCGTGGAAAAGAGGAGCGCCACAATCAATGAACGCTAGAGCGCAGGCGGCCTATCAGCCGGGAGAGCCGGAGATGCCCCGTGGACCCGGCTGGCTGCCGTCGGAGCGCTCGGTCGACTTTCCCGCCAGCGCCCCCAATCCCGCTCAACGCTAACGGAGGCTCCGCCAGAGCTGCTCCACCGCGGCCAGATACACACCGCGTGCCCTTTTGAACTAAAGGCAGCTTGGTCCCCCCCTCCCCCCCCAATCCCCCACCCCTACCCACTCATCCAGCACTGGCTGCCACTCAGGAGGAGGAGGAGGAGGAGGAGGAGGCTTGGGCACCAGTTCAGACTCGGCATCGTGGAACGTCCAGCTGCTTGCCAGTGTTGTGTTGATGCTCCGGACGTTAACACAGAGGAAAGGTTGATTGATCTGTGGGCGCCGCTCGCCGAGGAAGACTTCTGGATCTGCAGGAGAGGCCCTCGCCGCTTCCTCAACTGGGCTCCCGGCTTTTTGAGTTCAAGGCGCAGCGCTTCCTCCCGACTTCCCACTACAGCTCCCATCATGCCTCACTCCTTCCAGCAGAAAAAAGGTGAGACATCCTTCTTCCGTTCTTAGACACCTGCGCGGGGGCAAGTTGGTCGACGCCGGCAAGATGAATGAATGTGCAGCATAGTCAAAAATCCTTGAATTGCATAGATTTGGGAGATTTGAATGAAGTGACTAGAAATGTCCTTTTGGATTTCTATATTTCCAGTTTCTGTCATATCTTTTGTTGCAGTGAAACCTGCGAAAATATGAAGTTTGCATATATCCTAGATAATCATAATTTGAGTATATCAAAGCCCACATTATAATGTGTACACATTCTTTTGCACCCCACACACAAGCTGCATCCACAGGAAGAGTGACAGCTGAAAACATTCCTCCACAGACAAAGGCCAGAGTCCCCGGCTGCCTCACTGCTGCATTGAAACTAATCATTATGGTTCCACGCCGGCTTTATGAGGGTCAGCTCATCTTAGACATCGAATCAATGCACTTGCTCGTTCACAACGTTAACAAGGTCGGGCATGCATGCAAAGCAGTGCTCCCGGGGGTGGAGGGGTCACGATAAGTACAACTGATGTCTGATAGGCAAGTGGGATTACAATATCCTGGCAGGGTCATCCACAGTATGTAGAAAGCATGTATTCAACTTGCTGATGTGAGGGACCTTCCACAATCTTCAATCATGTTTGCACTAGATGCATGTTTTGTACTTTATCCTTAACACTAAACAATCAGATCATTGATGGACAATAACGTACCAGTTGGCAAGTGATGATCACTAGGAATGCTGGGGGTTCCATGCAACCGGTGAACCAACCGAGTGCAGCAGATATGTAGCGTGTCTGCGTGCGAGATGCAGAACGGATAACACCTAGAAACGACAAACGTGTCGAGCAGAGCAGGTGCCAGTCTGCTCTCTGTGCGTCCGCACTTCCGCCAGAGATGCAGTGGCTGCTGACTGTGATACATTAGTGGGAGTGAATCATATATATATATATATATATATGATTTTTTATTCTCTTCATTTTAAAACGTGCGCAAATGCAGATTAATGAGGCCCGGCGGTTATGGGAGTTGATTTGTTTCTGGCAAACATAAAGAGTGGGAGGTTTTCTAGAACTTAGAGGAAGAGACAGCACCGTCTGGCTCCATGAAGTAAAGGCTGTGGGCGCTCGCGAGACAAAGAAGAAAATTCAATCAGAAATGATACATTTTAACTAAAACTAACTCTGATTATTCAGAAATTGGGGTAAAAAAAGGAGAGAGAACCAGTATTTCTCCTTTCTAATATATTTTCTTTGTTTGCAAATTAACAATTTAAATGTACTTGTGCGTGCTATGCATTATGCATGTATTTTCTTGAATATTTCATAGAAATGTTTGAGTGATCACTTCCTGAATCCATGTCAGTACCGTACGTTTTTCTTTTTTTTTTTTTTTGGTAAAGCAGTTGACTTCTGGGTTTTAGTGGGATTGCTTTCATCCTCCCCAATCCCATGTTGGATTTAAATCCATATACTGCTTTGGCTGGAGGACACCCAAAACAAAAGGTGAAAATACACCAATACAGTATTGGAGACTCTGATGATGATATCTACAGAAATATACAGAGGTCTGATGCCAGATTCCTCTCGGAAAAGCATATGATAGAAAGTCTTTATTGCACTGGACCTTTTTGGAAAGTTTTTAACATGACGTCCAACAATGTTCTACACAGAACAACCCAGTTTTTTTCCAAGGCAGCAGCCGTAGAGACGCAGAGAGCTGCAGGTGGTGGGTGCGCCGGGTGCATGTTCTTCCAGTTTTACCAGCCCTGCAGACCAGCACCAGCAGTTACCTCTTCAGAGGCCGGCCGCCACTTTTGACTCGGCAGTGGACCCAATGTCACACAGGAGAATTTGATATTGCTGAATGTGAAACTGGAACGGAGAGGAAAGAGAGATAAGCAGGACGTACGGAGTCAACCGAGTGGAATGACTTTCTGCAAACCCTGATGCTATTTTACGTCTATGTTTCGCGTCTATGATTCATACAGTGCTTGCGTGTAACCAGTCCCGTGCATGCAGTCATACGACACAAATAAGTGAAACCAGTTCAGCAGCATTTATGTTCGTGGCCATAAACATGTTGACAATGACAGATTCCACCTGTGCACTGGAAAAATACAGAAGAAATGCTCCACGTATTGACTAAACACAGCTAATGGAGAGCTTATGCGTGCTCCGTTGGGCACAACTTTCTATTTGTGCGAGTCGCATCAGCTGGACCCTTCAAATCACTGGGTGCCGGTTCGGGAAAAACACAGAGTTGTCCAAACGTCCCAAAAGTGGTCAATCGCATTGGAAACGAATCTGAGAATCTGAGCAGGAAAATCTACATAGACACAAGTGAGAGAATTGTATATTATTATACGATTTTCAAAATAGAATTTAATTGCTACTGACATGGTCCATTGGGTTCTGTATGTGTTCTGACCATCACCCATTGAGGCGACAGAAGAGGAATCAATCATATTTCCGATATTTTGGAACCACATGGAGCTTAGCTTGTGATGCTTGAGGCGACTATAAAAGAAAGCGATGTCTCTTTCGGGAAATCATGATCCAGTTAATCATTTTAATTCACACACCTTTTTGTGAGCTTCATGAAGGAACCATTTTCTCTTCTTTTGGGGAGAAATGTTCCTTTTAAAATAGTTTGCTGGGAGAGCGTAAGAACTTGAAAACACAAATCCATTACTTGGGTTACACTATATTGGACCACTGTCTGCTCATCAGTGCTTACATGTGTAAGCAGAGGAAAACGTGCTCCTTAAGCCAAATAAAACAAATGAGCCAACACAAACCCTGATATCTCCAGCCTGACGGTAACCAGGGTCGGGACAGCGCTTCAGGAACAGTGGGCTTGACTCACATGTAGAATTCTTATTGGATCATCACTGAGGGAGGTGCAGAGAGGAATAAGACCCACTTGCATACCGCTCGAACGCTATCACCAGGACCGCTGGGTGCATGTGCTGTCCGTGATAGTAACCCACCCCGTCATCCAGCAGATGGCACACTGCCCAGCGACCGTTTCTGGAATGCGTGGAAAATTTCACAGATTCCGCCGGGCTGCATTTCTGCTCTCAGCCGGCCTTGGGAGAGTCCCAAATCTACATGCTTTGATTTCCACCAAATTGAAATTCTAGCCCACTAACGCTCCTCTGACCTCAGCGCGTAGAGCATGCACGGGGACGCCGCCGAGCTCAAGGTCACCCACACAGGCACGCTGCAGGAAGTTACTCCTAAGTCGTTTTTGAAATTGTTCTATTTGGTGTGTGCGTGTTTTCTTTTGTCGAAATGACTGATTGAGCATTATGGGAAAAGGGAAGCTTTTACAGCTTTTTAGGTTGCTGCTGCTTCACAACACATGCAGAACTTTCAAGTAAACCCTTGACGTGTTCAGAAAGAGGGAAACGATCTAAAGAGACGCCATCGGCAAAAAGGTCACGCTCGGTTATACAAAAAGCATCCGTTGTTCACTAGTGCTGGTGTGCTGAAGCAGAGACACCACAGGTGAACAAGGGATGCATTGAACTCACCGACCTCACCGTGAAACTTCCCCGGTGGATTGTCTATGTTAAGACAATGGCTTTCTGTACTACACGTGTTCCGAAATTGCGCGTTTATATATGCAAATGACGAAGTATCTCATTAAATATGCATGCATCTGCATATATTTCCAGAACAGAAATCTGAACATCAGATGAAACCGAAATAGAGGGACGCCTAGTTTTTTACAAATAAGATGTACGAATCAAGCTATGAATGATGTACAAACAAATCTTTTTAGAAAATCCTTCAGAATATAAAGAGGAATGAAAGTGGAAAGTTTGGTGGAGATCAGTTGCATCAGTCTGACAAAACACTTATTTCAAGAAGACGCCCTTTAAAGGAATGTTCTGTGAAATGCCTCACATTACATCAAGACACTACAGGTGAAAAACGTCACTAACATGTTACACTTTCCCAGTAAATCACTTATATTGAGATCATTAGTTTTATCAACAATATGGAACTGACGCATTATTATATGTCAAGTTGTTGGTGAATTTAGAAAAAGCGGTTAAACCATCAGCTGAATGTGTATTCAGGATTGTTTTATTCCCACCGGTCTGAGAGGAGACAAAAGCAAAACAGCCTCGCGTCTCTGAATTGACCAGAGTCGTTTTGCCTGTAGTGCCTCGCCTTAACCCCGTCAAGCGGGATGAAAGCCATCTTCCAAACCCGGAGTGTGTCATCGCAGAGACACGCAGCGGCTTTGTTGCAAAACCGACATGATTGTCATGTCGGAGTAGAACTTGCCAGTTTGCTTGTTAATTAAAAGAAAGGGAAAAAAGGAGAGGCACGCTTCCAAGTGAAGTGCTCTCATCATTACCTGCTCGGAAGAATCTTTTGATGTGGCATCAGTGAATTCTTCTATTTATTATTACACGTCGGGTTCTTTAACTGAAGTAATAAATGATGTATGCCATTAGTCTTCTGCACAAATAGACGATTTGAGGAAACAGCGTGAATACATACAATAAGACAGAGGAACAGATCTTTTGTTCAAACACACACTGCCTTTCACGGACCTATTTTAGCAGGGTGGATCTGCAGGGAAAGGTGTTTGAAATAAGGCGACTTTTGTCGTGGACAAAAGGACAAAACGAAATGCTGCCGGGATGCACGGAGTTAAAAAAAGAGAAAAGAAAAAGTAAAACTTAACAATACAAGAAGAAAATTCTTTTAAAGAATGGGAACTAAAAAAGACCTCTGTAGCTAACAGCATTATCTGTTTGGTGTTACAGCGCGCTTGCATCATGCCTCTCAGAACAAAACTCCACACTCACATCTTTGCTGACAATGAACACTGAAGTTGGCAGAAATTTGCTGTGAAACGAGACAAAAGTGTGCAGTTTATGAAGAAAGAAAAAAAGAAAGAAGTGAGGCAACCTCCGGGCCTCGGGGCTTTTGTCAGTGGGCATTTTCTATTCAATGACCTATCGTGCAGCGAGTGTAGGCAATGATACGGCTTTAGAGATCTCTTCACACTCTATCAGCCTCTCTTTTTCGACCGTGCAGCTGGGGCTTGGATCCCTGTCACAAGCTGCTTTGGGATTGTCCCTGAACGCCACGGCCCCTCTGGTTAATCACGCAGCCTGTTCACAGTGTGTCAAATGTCCCGATCGCTTCTGACGGACCGATATCGATCACCTCTTCCTCTGTCCCGTCCTCTGCTAAGAATCGGGTGAGTTAAAGTTAGCCACGGATTTAGGGTAATTATCTCATCCTTCTACAGGGCCTCGGTTAAATTACACATCTCTCCCCCCAACTCCTGGATGCTTTATGGCCGTGCATAATGCATAACGGCGCCGGAGCCGCCTTAAACATCCCCCGAGTGGATTGGAATAAAGTTGACGCTGCTCTTTGTTTGGAACTCAACGCAGTCTTTATCTGGCAGTGCTGAATCGGGGGGGTTGCTGTGAAAGCGCGTCTTAATTATTTTGGAGACTTCTCTCCTCCCAATGGTTTGTCAACACCTGGAGTGCTTTTTTTTTTTTTGTTCTTTAATGTGGGATGCTGGATCCAGATGGGCGGATGCTGCTCACATTTCCCTAATCACACTCCATTTTACTTCAGTAGAGAAGTGACACTGGTATCAAGTATATATTTTATATGTTAGTGTAAATCTCTCACCTAGTCGGACGAACATCTCTGTCGATTAACTGGGAAATAACAAACATCTTCAGCTTTATCAAAACACAATCAGATGTATTTTCTCAAAGACTCGATCAAACCAAATAAACATCGAGGTGTGGAGGGTTTTAAAGTCCTATGTAGGCTGATATATATATAAATATCAAATATATTTGTGTAGGCTGATCTAAATATGATATGAACTATATTATTAAAAAATTTAATAATAAAACGTTGTTATAAGTGGGAGAAAATAAATCCAGAGTTCCTTTGTGTGTCATTTTGCAACACTAACTGCTGGAGATCAAATAAATGGAGTGTGTATTTTTGCCTTTGCGATATGCACCAATAAATCTTCTAGCGACATGTGTAAACTTTGTTTGTGTCGTGTGCCACCAGCTCAGCAAATGCTCCTCCTGTGCCAGGGGGTGAGCGGGATGAGAAAAGACGGGGAGTCCGTGGTCTGGAATCAACACAAGCACAGTTTCCAAGGTGAGTCACCGATAGTGAACCGTTACCCACAAAGCGAGTCAGATGCTGCAGCCTGACCAGGCACCCCTCACCGATGTGCATATCCAAACCAGCTCTCATTTACACACACTGGGAAGTAAGGAAACGTCTCCTCACTGCCAAAAAAAGATAACAGACCAAGCGGGTGAAGCTTTTTTAAACTGAAAGAGAATAAAGTAAAACACATCAGTGAATTGAAAAGTAAAAAAATAAAAAGTTTAACTCTGAGAAATGATGCAACAGGGAGTACACATGCCTTGAATTAAATAGTATGCACAGGTAGTATTGTAATAAATATTTAAAAAAGAAACGCAGTCAATTCATTTTCCAGGAAACTTTTACTATGCATTTCAATGTTATTTGTTAAGTGTGAATATTATCTGACATGGACGATTATACAGGCGTGCTCCCTTCAATACAAAACATAAGAGGTCCACGGAACAAGATAAACCGGGCCAAATGGGCTACGAGGGAAAAGTACATTATGGCACCCAAAACACCAAGAAGATGTCCACAATGGCATGTATAAGCATTAATAACCCCAAAACCAAAACCACGTGATTCTGATTGATGTGCAGGCTACACATCCTCTGCTCAGGTCATGTTTTTGGGTTGGTGACGCGCTCAAGAAGTGAAGTTAGTGTCTGCGGATCGCTCCTACACTAAACACTAAACACTATAGTGCGAGCAAAATAAAAAACAAACAGTAGCTTTGACGAATGAAACCGTTAAAATGCACAGATGAGAATATAAAACTGGACCTAATAAGTACTGATCCAACCATGCACTAACAACCGGGAACACCAACACCGCTCAACAATTCCTTCCACACAATATATATATATATATATATTGATAATAAATCTATTAAATCTTTAATTTTTTAACAAACCGCCAGTGGTGATTCGCAGTATTCTCCCGTCTATGAAGTCAGCATACCTGCAGGAAAACTAGCTACAAAAGAGGGTTCCGAATAAGCGGAACAGCTCGCGGCCACCTCGACCCGTCCGCGCGGGCCTGATTGAGGCGCGCGCCTGTGTGCTGTAGGTTAACGTGTACGGGGGGTGTGTTTAATGCCACGAAACGCCATCCAGTCGGCACATTGCTCAAATCACGGAATATAAATTAGTTCTCAGAATTTCGGGGGCTGGGTTTAAGGAACTCGTGACGTAGCCAACCCGACGTGCCGTGGCTGTGGATTCAACCAAACGCAGGGGGGTGGATCGAGCCAACGTTAAACTACTTCCTACATTATTTTACAGAATAATCTCCATTTTTGTGCATATAAACGCTGGCATTAAGCAGTGCTTGCTTTAAAGCACTCTGTGTGGAAAGCAAGTTATGAAATAAGCCTTATAAGAGGGTCGTTCTTGCTGCGAGGGAGAGAAACGTCCCACCCCTGCCACGGGAAAGTGGAACGGTCTCGGACTCAAATTCCGAGAATTGAGCTCGTCTGATTCTTAGAACTGGGGTTCTTAGAAGTGGCGATGCAAGAAGTTTCTAGGAAAGCGCTACCAGGTGATTTTTAAATTCCTTTTTTGCCTCTAATTTGGCGCGAAGTTGTTGTCTCCCGTCTATGTGTTTCAATGAGCTGTTTGTGTGTCCGCGCCGCGTGAGTGCGTGTGACCGGGGTCGGCCGGTAGTTTGCGCGGAGGCTCGCGCGGTGACAGCCGGCGCGCGGCTCTCCTTGACACATCATGTGCGGACCCGAGTCGCGTCGCGGAGCCGTAATAGCGCCCGGCTCGCGGTCGTTACACCGAGGGGGACACCGGGGAGCGCGCGCGGTGCGAACGGCTGCCGAGAGCCGGACACGTGCACGTCGCGCCGCGCGGCCGCTCGGACGCTCACTTTGACGGCTGCGCCGAACGCGCGCCCGTCACCGAAACACCGTGCCGGAAACACTCGCACGCAACCACATGTTGTGCGCGAGTGTTGTTTTCCAAGGTCGTCGCGTCAAAGTTGCGTTTCCACTGACAGCGGTGTGCGCGCGCGGCGTGGGTCGCCCCGCGCGCACCGGCCCGCGCGGCTCCCCCGCAGATGCGCTCGCAGTTGTGTTCGTGCAAAGTGTTGTTCTGTTGTTTCTGGTGAGGAGTGTGTGTGACGGTGGCCGCTCCTGGACGTAAACACATGTTTGGGTGCATGAAATGAGGAGCCGCTGCTCGTGAGGCGCGTGGCGTCGGACTGTGACGGGACAGATCGAAGTTCTAAACTCTCAGTCCTCATTAGAGCCATTACTCCGTATAGTAATAACTGCTTTTTTGACCCCGCCAGGAGGTGACAATTCAGCACCTCTTTTTAAAAATGGATTTAGTAGACCGGCATATATTTAGGATGTACTTTCCTTGTACTATCGGACGTGTCTGGTTACATACTTGACATTGAAAATAAACTCATAACTCCGCGCGAAGCCAAATTCGCCTTGAGTTAGTTAATGATAATACTAATAATTACCACTCTGTTAAAAGTGATTGGTCTAAACAAGCAACAAAGCACACTGGCTCAATAATACTAATACTAATAATAATTATTTTTATTTTTATTAATAATAAGTAGTGGGAGCTGTCACGAGTTTACAGCGGAGATCTAGTCGAGGACATTCTGCGGTCGAAATTAACATTTAGAGTTTGGACGTTACTTGTGTGCCAAAAATGGAAAAACGAAAAGTTGTTATTGTGGAAACAGTTGGCTGATCAGCGCGCGCGCCGCAGACCCGCCAAACTTTTCTCCCGTTGACCGAATTCAGACCGAGTCTGATGTGCGCGCAATGAATCCGCCAAATTATGGATTTAAAAATGACACATAAAATGGCTTTTTATTGATTTATTATGGGCTATTTTATTTAAAGGAGTCTGTACTTTTGTGTTTCTGAAAAAAATGTGTAATTAAACATTCCGTTATTACAAGATTATACCGTCAATACTTGAATCTGCTCCAATCTGTTTAGAATATGATAGAAATTTCCGTTAATCTTTATTTGTTGTATTCACTCGTCAACCGGTGGTTAAGAAGGAGAGAAAGTGAGGGGGAGAGAAATTATTCCAAAGGGTTGAAATTTAAATGTCTAGACGGTGTTTGTTTAATATATGGCGCCGCCTTGTGGAGGAACGGAGGTATCTTTGTAAGTCTGCCCCATTGCTGAATGAATGATAACTTTACCTGTACTTCAGCATTGATGCGGGCGGGTGCATTGTGGCAGGGTGATGTCTTTTTTTGTGTGCAATAATCTTTATTCTTTTGGATTTTGCAGAACTCGACAAAATGGCTTGTGCAGCAGACAGCTGCATACAATTCACACGGCATGCCAGTGATGTCCTGCTCAACCTGAACCGGCTGCGCAGCAGAGATATCCTCACCGACGTCACCATCTTGGTCAACAGACAGCAGTTTCGCGCACACAAGACCGTTCTCATGGCTTGCAGGTGCGTGTTGTTCCGTTTTAGAAGACAAGTCAAATGGTCCTCCTGCAGTCTAGAGATGAAGTGACTGATCCGTGTCTCTTTTTACTTTTGCGGCAGTGGGCTGTTTTACAGCATTTTCACCGACTCCCACAAGTGCAACCTTAACGCCATCAGCCTGGACCCAAAGGTGGATCCAGAGGGCTTCGCCATCCTGCTGGAGTTCATGTACACCTCCCGTCTCACGCTGAAGGAGAGTCTCATCATGGCGATCATGAACACGGCCATCTACCTGCAGATGGACCACGTCGTGGACACCTGCCACAGATTCATCAAATCGAGGTTGGCCGAAGGCGCTTCCGCTGCATCTGTCAAATTCCCCGTCAGCCCCGTCTGTCGTGTATTTCTCACCCACCTCATTCCTTCCGCAGCGATCCGGCTAAGCTGCCCAGAGACGAGTTCCTGGTCAGTCCCCTGGTCTTACCTCAGGATGTCCACGCTTACCGGCCCCACGACGTTGTCGACAGTTTGCACAGCCGCGTAGCTCCGTTCAGGGACGGGAGGCCCTACGGCTCAAACATGTTCAACGGGGTCAGCACCCCCACCAACTACCATCTGTACGGGCAGTTCCCCATGCCCGGATTCCCTTTCCCCCTCTGCAAGCTGACCGACGCCAAAAACGCTTTCGCCGACCTCTCCAAGAGCGGCCTCCACCACAAGCACTGCTCTCCGCATGACGGCGCCAACATGATCCGGGCGGAATACGGCCGGGCGATGGGCACCGGCTCCTCCGGCATCCTTCACACCACCACCTTCGCTTCCAGGGAGCTCGCGAAAGACGACGAGATGCGGAGGGAGAGCCACCAGGGGGGCGGCCAGTCCATCGCCCTCGGCGCGAGGAAACGCGCGTTCCCCGCGTTGACCCTGGAGCACCCGAGAGACTCTGGAAAGGATCACGCCCCGCAGGCGGAGGAGGACCTCATCCATCACCACTACCCACTCGGGATCTCGTCTGCGGGACGCAAGGGCCTCATGAGCAGCCCTCAGAGTCCGCTCAAGTCCGACTGCCAGCCCAACTCCCCGACCGAGTCCAGCAGCAGCAAGAACGCCGGCCTCACCCAGGCCGGCGGCGGCGTGCAGGCTCCGCAAGGCACGCAGGACCCCAAGTCCCGCAACTGGAAGAAGTACAAGTTCATCGTGCTGAACCAGAGCGCGAAGGACGAGGAGGCGGGGCTGCGGGACGCGGGGCTTCGCTCCCCTCAGCGGCTCAGCCTGCAGCCGTACCTCCACCCCAGTGACTCGGAGAACCTCGACCCACAAGCCACGAGCAAGAGCGGCGAGGACCTGCCCGCTCCTCAGGCCAGTCGTCTCAACAACATCATCAACGGGTAAGAGGATGTCTAAATGCCTTCGGTACACGGCGGCACATTTGTGCGTACGGGCAAATGTCAATGCGGAGGACGTCTGACTTAAAGGGTGTGTTTTTGTTGTGTGTGTGTGCGCACAGTGCACTGGAAGGCTCCCTGAGGAACGCTGACGCCGCCCCCCCACACTACCTGAGCCGGCTGAACTGCTCGTCCTGCGGCACGCCGTCTCCTCAACACTCCGAGGTGTGTCCCAAGACCCCCAGGTCCCGCCTGGCGGAGGACATGGCGGAGCTGCACTCGGAGTACTCGGACTCTAGTTGCGGTGAGTTTGGTCGGCGTGTGTTGAAACACGAATTGGTTTCTGCGTTATTCGGGGCTCGGGGTTAACCGCTTCTCTTTCCCCGACAGAAAACGGTACATTCTTCTGCCACGAATGTGACTCCAAGTTTGCGGAGGACGAGGCGCTGAAGCAGCACATGCTCCGGGTGCACAGCGACAAGCCGTACAAGTGCGACCGCTGCCAGGCTGCTTTCCGCTACAAGGGCAACCTCGCCAGTCACAAGACCGTGCACACGGGTACAGACGAGACTCCCCCGCCGCCCTCGCAGGTCTCCGCGCCCGTGGCTGCTGGATTCTGACCTTCGTTTTTGTCTTTTCCTCTACAGGAGAGAAGCCGTATCGCTGTAACATCTGCGGTGCTCAGTTTAACAGACCGGCCAACCTCAAGACTCACACTCGCATCCACTCAGGAGAGAAGCCCTACAAATGTGAGACGTGTGGAGCTCGTTTTGTACAGGTAATAAACAACAGCCATCCTCCCTCTACTGCACGGATACACAATACACAAGTGTGTGTTTGTGTTTGTGTGTGTGTGTGGTCATTTTCAGCTTTACAGAAGTAACCATAAACACATGAACGTCCTTAGGGGGTTCTGGCTTTTCTCTAATGGCTACCGACAGTCTGCGGCGTCTCGGCTGTGTGTAAATATAACTCCGGTGTGATTTTGTTTGGCCACGGCAGGTTGCTCACCTGCGCGCCCACGTGTTGATCCACACGGGGGAGAAGCCGTATCCCTGCGAGATCTGCGGAACGCGCTTCCGCCACCTGCAGACGCTGAAGAGCCACCTGCGCATACACACGGGAGAGAAGCCGTACCATGTAGGTCGACCCGCTGCATCAAAAGAAAACTATCAAAACGCACAATGGCGACGTGCGCAACTAACGCTCTTTTTTTTTTTTTTTTTTCTTCCCCCTTTCAGTGTGAGAAATGCAACTTGCACTTCCGCCACAAGAGTCAGCTTCGGCTGCATCTGCGGCAGAAGCACGGCGCCATCACCAACACCAAGATCCAGTACCGCATGTCGGCGGGCGACATGCCCACCGACTTGACCACGGCGTGCTGAGTCGGGGGGAGAGAGAGGACTGTTTTCTACAGGCGGCAATCTTGACCTTGGCATTTAAATGACCCCAACTTGTACAATCATCCAAAACTGTAGTGCCACACTGTGTTTATTAGACAAATTGGCTGTGAACGCCATTCTAAAACGGGTTTCCACTACATGTGAACGTATAGCCACTTTATTGTTTCTATATATATATAATTATATATGTGTGTGTTGGGAGTGTTTCTAAGCTTTGACGGTACGTATATAAAGCTTTATTTTGTTGAGGATGGAATGTAAAAAAAAAAAATCATTTTTTTTAAATACAGTATTTTATATCAGAACTTACTTTTCTGAAAGTATTACAAATTTTGATGGACGGTTGGTACATATATTTTGAGATTCCCAGATTTGCGGCTGCAGTTGTCTACACATTTTTTTAAATGTACGTACACGTTGCACTGTGTCGAGTTGTCATATTCATGTGAAGAGGTGGAGGAGAAAAAAAATGTGCTAATTGGATTTTGTCAAACATATCAGAAGACTGCTGCGGTCTGATTATGCATGAGGTACTCTTACCGTTATCGGCGCACATGAAGCGGGCAAACAGCATAAATATTGTGACATATTGTGTAATTATCTGTGGGGTTGCTCTCTGCTGGCGGAGCCAATCCAGGTGTGGAAATGCATTTGAAGGCTTTGTTGTGACCAAGAAAATATTTTGCTTTGAGTGTATTTGTATAGATGTGAATTTGGTTTTGTTTATTTTCCATAGGTAAAGGTTTACAGTTTTGCTCATTGTTCTAGATCCTACAGTAAAGTTGTGTACGTGTCAAAAGTTGTTTTGTTTGTGTATTCAATGTGCCTTTCTCTGTGGTGTCTGAATCCGTCCCCCAGTCCGCCCAGCGCTATTTAAAAAGGTACCCATGGACAGCACTTGTCCCAAAACCCCCTGACCCCCCCGTGTGTGTGTGTGTGTGCGTGTATTTAAATGCTTGTCACCGACCTGAAAACATGCAAAATTCATCATTGTAAATCTTCAGGACTTGTTTTTTGAATTGGTCTTTATTAAAAAAAACTGCATTAAAGTTATTGTACAATGTTCTAGATGTATGAATGTAAAATAAAGGTATTGGATTTCTATGTAACAGCAGTGTCACATTGAAATGGGAGAGGCTTGTTCGGAGGAGTAAAGCGCCGTTTGATTTCACCGGATGTCGAGAAACGGTGAGCGAGGCTCATGAGTCCACACAGCTAAACACCGGCCCACGCGTCCGAGCAACAGAATCCTGTTACAGTGGAATTTTTGGAGAAACGTTACTTATTTCCAAAGGGAAGCGGCAATCAACAGAAAGGTGAGATTAGCACCAATTGTGATTCTAGCGATTTACATGATTGAACCAGCTTTAGGACGCGCTGTCACGGCTTCACTCTGAGGATTTTGATACAGCACGATGAGGCCGTGGGATTTTCATTTTCATTTCCCATGAAGGCAGACGTTTACAAAATGCCTTCTTTCCGAGAGCACTTTGTGGCAAAGAGTTATCAGTTTCTCAGATAACTAAAATCCCCAAAACATTTGTGAATGACAACATGAACATGTAAATAAAATAGGGTTTTATTTTGAAGTGGAATAGTAAAAAAAAAGTCATCATTTTTTCAAAGGAAAGCAACGGAAACACTAGAAACATATCTTTACCTCTACAGGGCTCAAAAAATTGAATTTAGTCCCGATTCTTTCACACAAAACCAAAAGGCGGTACCAAATGACGCCTTCCTGCCCTGCTGAAGACCACTTCCAATCATGACTGTTGATCTCTTAACATTAGGAGAACATGACCAACACTGCTGAATCACAAGAGATGCACAAACTATCTCATCTTGAATGTAACTCAAAACTATATAAGAATTCACGGTCAGAACCCCTTGACCCCCCCCCGACCCCGACCCCCCCACATCCTTTGGGTTAATCACTGCTTCTGCTGCATTGCTTCTTTTCGCGCAGCGTCCTGCAGGAGCTGAGTGTCCACCTCGTCAGCGGGCAGCTGAACGTACCGGACCACCGATCCACGGATAAAACAGTTTTTCACGGATAACTAGAAAAAAGAAAAATCAAAATGCGCAGTTTGAAGAGAATTCATTCAAGGCAGCGAGAACACAAATGCAGATCTGTCCGAATAAACGTTCTGTTAGATGGAGTTTAGTGTGTGACAAATTCTTTTGTGTGGCATGTTTGCCATGTTATGCATATATTGTGTTATATTGTAATGTATTGTAATATATACATTTATTTTACATATATTTCATATTACCTTCATAAAGTGTGTATATTTGGGATTTAAGAGAAATCCTTGTCCGGAGCATTGTTTTACAGCGAGGGGCTCCGAGACCCCACCTTAAAATCATGTTTAAAGGAAATTCTCACAAAAGCCACGAAGCTTCAAGGCGATCAAACAATGTCCCGTTTGTTTTTTGGGTCTGTTAACAAAGGCCTGGATAGTTCAGATCTCACACTGAACATTTAGGGTTTTCAATAGGTATATCTCAAAAGAAGGGACAGCGGGTGATAGCAAAGACTTACCATGTGTGGATATTTCTCTGGATCAGTAACACTGATGTCTGTGAGCTTGATATTCAGGTACTGAAAAACACACAGGCAGAGATAAGTCATAATTCGTCAATCAAATAAACGTCGAACAGCCGCAGTTCTTACAGCTTTTATTCAAAGTGAGGGAAATAGTTCACGATTTCCAACCTGGTCAACGGAGTGAAGCGTCCCGCAGATGCTGGAAGGAGAGACGGCAGCATTAAACCGATTGAGACGTTTCTAGATCAGAAATACAGCTGACCGGAGCGGAGGTGTTCTAATCACTGGCCTACACATGCAGTCTACTATAATATATTTTACCAAAAATAAAGAATAACCAATTATTTTTAAACTATACTGTGTTCAAATTCCAAGACATCACAATAGTTCACGTTAGCCAGAAGGGTCATTTGAAGCGTGCACACCTTTCTTCCACCACAGCTAACGATAAATAATGGCGGCTAAATCGAACGGTGTTAAAAGGCCACACGACTTTCTCGGAAAATACTAACCTCAGGTCGTTTTTAAGCTCCACCACCACATCCTTCCCCACCAGCGACTTGAAAAACGAGTAGAAAAGCTAGAAAAAGAAACACAACGACATGACAACGCTCTTGTTAGCATCGGGCTACATGCTAAGCACGATACCTGTATGCAGACAGCAAACACAATCAACCCCATTCGGCTGTGTGGTGAGATATAAATACTTGACTAGCGGCGTGGCGACTTTTCAAATAAGACATTCAATGGAAACTTAGAACAAATGACTATTTCCAAAGCGTAGTTCTTACCATTATTGCTGTTGGCTTCTTGCGGATGTGCGTCGAGTGCTGATGACGTAATATTGCTGCGCCCAATCGGGGTGCAGCTACTGACAAATACCACACGAGGGCGCCAGAGATGCGCTCCGTGTCAGCGGGATTGACGCTTAACTGTCGAAGTCTATTGTGATTTGTTACGCGAACCATGGGACCATAACGCGTGTTAGTCAGCCACGTGGCATCAAAGTGAGTCCGTGGAATGACTATCAGGCGGTTTATCTGTTGGACTCGGGAGATATTACATATTCGTAAGTGTTTATTATGTCTGCTAGTACTGTGGACACCTGCAAGGCTTTTCAGCAAGTTTCTTTATAGATCTTGAGGCACAGGAACTTCAACTATAAATGTTCTGAATATCTTTTAAAACCCTGCAGGGTTTACTATGATTGCACATTTTTGACCTGTTGACCCGTGACATTAAGCATTGTCTGCCTGGAGCCCATTGTGAATGGTTACATACGTCTACGTCTCAGATGAAAAAGTAACTCATGTGTTTATAGGTGATCCTGGTGGGATTGCTGTAAAGAAAATACATTTGTATGCAGCAAATGTAATCGTCCTCTTTATTCATCTCCTCAGGAGGTGCAATAATTGGATTAAGGATAGAAACAAATATGCAATAGTTGTAGAAATTATATTCAATTTTAAAGAAAAAGAGAAGTGGCAAAGAAACTCTTGTCTCCTTGCTTGTGCACATGAGCAAATATGTGAATGTGCAGATTACATTTACACACTGATCAAACCACATGAGAATTAAGATTATTTAGGGGTTCATATATGGACTGCATGCAGTTCTTTTATGCAACAGCAGATGGAAGCAAACAATGAAGAACTACATCTTGTCTCAGACTGTTGAGATGAGTTTGTGATATAGATCTGAAACTACCAAATCCAGTTGCTGTTTGTTAGCACCTGAGAATTTATTGTACATCTTCATGGTAGACATGTTCATGTCTGTGGAGGATAATACTGTGCGGTACACATTTGTCAGCTACTGTATAGTGTAATTCTCCACATGATATGTAAAGTTTATCGAATGGGCAGTTTGATTCCAAACCCACGTTTTAATGCAATCTTTCTATAATATAAATGTTTTGCTCTTTTTTTATATAACTTCAAGGGAAAAGTTTCACACCATTTTTCATTCTTGCCACGAATTGAACGACAAGACTGAGGCCAGGCTCATGTTAGGGCAAAGAATATGAAATAATAGCCAGTGGACAGTTAGCTTAGCTTAGCATCAGGACTAAAAACCGAAGGAACTGGTGATGGACGAGCTTTATATGCTCCACTGTTACGGGTTTCTATGCTAAGCTAGTGGTATCCTCGGTTTTAATGTTTCCAACAATGCAGAGCAGGTAGCTGCACAGTCACTACAGCTTTGCTTCACTTCACAGAACGGCCGGCCTTTGGAACGTCAGCGTGCACTGCGGAAAAACAAAGAGCTCCATTATACATATTATATTTGCTGGGGAAATGAAGAAAGAAAGCGAGCGTTCCCTACGGTCTTTTGGAGGCGGCGGCTGGCCAGGTCTCGCCGGCGGCCTGAGTTTGCCGAGGAGTTCGGCGCTCTCTCTGTAGTCTCTGGGATTCTGGGGCTCCGGCACGCCGGGCCGGGACTTGGAAGGCAAAGGAGGACGTTCTGGCGCGAACCCCCCCTCTGAGCGCGACGGCACCACTGGTTTCTTGTGGGCCGAGGCCCGCGAGGGAATGCAGGTCGGCGGCGGGGGTTTGGTCTCGGAGCAGGTGAAGGAGCGGTGGCGCGGGGTCGGCACTGGGGGGCGATCGGGGTCGCTATCTGCCGGTTTGAAGCTGGGGAAGTTTGGATCTGGCGGCACAAGGAGGTCCTTCGGCGGGTGGTCTTGGTCCTTGGCCCGTGATTTTCCCATCGCACCGTATAACGGATTGTCGAACATCGCTGACGGCTTTTCATCCTCAGCCCTGGGGACAACGGGACACTTTCACTTTCTCCTGAATCACATCAGCTATTTTTTGGGGGTGATTTTCTGCAGCAGAACAAAGGCACTCACATGGGCTTTCCCGCGGGACTGCGTGTGTTTCCCGCGTCGTAACCGCCCTGCTTGTCGGTAGGTATGTGTTTTGGTGGCATGCTGTAGCTCCAACCTTTATCCACCACATGCCCACTTTTAAAGGACATCCCGACATAATTTGGGTTGGAAATATCATGAGCTTGGGTGGCGGAAGACCTGAAGACAGAAAGATATCTCAACCCCCGATGTCGCTCTTGACACGTTTTGAAAGGTAGCCGGGCGATAAAAAGCCTCACCTGTTTGTGTCGCTGCCTTTGCCTTTGGAAGCAACAGCGTCATCCTTTTCGACTTTAATGAAATCTGAAAGCAAAATACGACATGACGCTACGAGAGCTGCAGCAGAAAGCGTTTGACGGGTGAGTCCGGAGCGTATTTGGAGGCTCACCGTATAGCTTCTCGGTGGGAGTGCCCTCCGAGGTGCGTAACTGGATGCCACCCGTGAGAGTGCCCGTCCTTTCTCCGTGGTGAGTCAGCGTGATCTGAAACTCGGTGTAGGCGAACTGGGCAGCTCGTAGCGCAACGCAACCCTCCCCTTTGGAGACAAGACACCCCGGGTTTGATGGTTCTTGCCGCTCAGCTGGATGCGTTCACGTTGCATCACCGTGCGTCACTTCACTCACCGTACGACTCGTCCCAGTCCGTCGACTTCACGCAGATCAGGATGTGTTGGTCCAGCAGGTACTCTGGATCCGAGATGATGGGGGTGAGCTTAGAGGAGAAAAGAGACGTGGCACTGCCGTGACTTTGCGGAAATGGCACTTTCTTGTTTCCTGTTCGTCCGAGTTTGTATCCCTAAGGTTGAATGCACTCATTGTAAGTCGCTTTGGACAAAAGCGCCAGCTAAAAGACGTGTAATGTAATGACTAAGCGCAACAAGCTTTTGTCCACGCTGAAAGCTCCATCCCCCGTTTTACCTCCACTTGGTTGCCGAACCAGACTTTTATCGAGCCGTCCAAGTGCTCTGTGTTCTCTCCCTCCAACGTCTTGACTGTTTCTGTAAACATTAACAGACTCATTCATGTCGATCCTCTAAGCATTTTTAAAAAACCTTGGATTACAATGCGATGTGGGTCAGTCACAAGAGCCTGGACGTACTTTCCAAGCAGCTGGAATGGTATTCAATGAAGAACTTGGTCTTCGACTTTGTCAACAAGGTGGCCACACAGTTCATGATCTGTATTCCGCCTTGAGGTGCACTGTTCGGGTCTGAAAAGTGAGACCAAAAAAAAGGACATGTAATTTTAGAGCGGATGACATGAAGTGATCTGCATAGGGGTCAAAGACAGTGATCATACCTTGCTTGGAGACAAACTGTGAGGCTACTCCGACTTCAAATGTGGCAAATAACGGCGAGTGGTCACTTGTCATGATGTCATTGGTACATCCTGTGAGATAGAACGTCTCATTAAATGTAATTAAGGGACACGACATTAAACGAGAGGTGCAGCGGACACTGAGATGAATGAACTTTCACTCTCCAGTGTGGGACCTCTGTCTTCTGTGGGACCCACACCTATCAACCCCACATCCCTTTGGAAGGTTCCCCTTCACAACATCATCGTACAAATCTATTCCCATGTTTTCTCAGGACATGTAACGTGTGAAATGCTTCCCCTTTAAAAATATAACCATTGTAAACCATGTTTCTATGTGATTTGCATACATATCTGTTTTAAAAACAGCTATACCAAACCTGGGTGAATATAAATGTTGTATTATTAATATATAATGATATTTTATGCCTGGTGGCAGACGAATATGATACTTTTTCCATTGCCTGACAAATACTGGATGTACTAATATTGATTATTGAGCGCTTCAAGAATTGAGACCCAGATATGCGCTGAATAAAACCGTTTCCATGTGAATGTTCAGCCCACCAACTAAAAAATAATCATTTGGAGTCATTTTAAATTCTTCAGCTCTAGAACCCTGAAGACGACACCGTAGAATAAGGAACAAAATGCTACTTTGGATTGACTCACCATAAGCTTGGCAGACGACATGGACGAGAGGGTACGACTTCCGTAGGACACGATCGCACCACGAGGGCAAATTGTATTTTGTCTGAAGAGTTAAAGTTACAATTTCAAGGATCAGACTTCAGAGCAGCAGTTTGAGCTTCATAAAGCATGCTGGGAGTTGGAGATATGATAACATGTTTTTGCTGGTGTGCATGAACTTCGACCGCTCAACATTCCCTTGTGTCTCAAAAGGAACTTTGTTAAATTGATCTCAGAGCTCTTAGGTGAGTTACACATATGTTCTCATGGACTTTACGACCCAAATGAAGCAAAAAGCATGTTCTGTGTGAGCTGAGGAATGTGTTCAATGGCGTAGTTGCTTTTACTGCTGTGTGCGCCACGGTGCGTGACAGGAACCCCACTGGGTAACGACATCTGAGTAAACGTGAGCTTACCCCTGTGGCCTTGGCCTTTGTGTAGGCATACTTATCTCGCGTGTCCCTTTCAAAGCGATACGTGGGTGCAAACGTGATTTCCTCTTCGTCTGCAAAAATCCAAATGAAATCATCGTCAAAAAGACATGTTTGTATTTGAAATGCATTCTGACAATGATTTCGCTGCATGTCCGTATTGATCAATATTCCCCATGCGGCTCACCGAAATGCAAGAAGACCTTTCCATCGTTCCTCTCCATGTTGAGCTGGTCTTTGCTGAGGAGTTCCTGGTACTGCTGCTGTTTGATCTTTGTCACAATGTACTCAGCTTCCTGTGAAGGGAAACAGTGCAACGCCTTGACTTATCCTGCCTTAGAGTGTTAGCAGCTCAGAGCTCAGACACCTGACAACCAGCCTGCTCATTCATGCACTCCCTGAAGCACAGCCCTGCTGATCACGACGAATTACATTCATATCAGACACCGGTCACTTATTAGTGAATCTGCAGGTTGTTAATAGTAAGGTTTCTAACAATAGAAACTCAATTCATTTGGTTCCGAGACAAGTAGACTGTAGAGTGTGCGATCGTATTGCATATGTTTTGTGTAATTCCTACGTAGCAAACTGCCATGAGCAGAGACTCACTGTCGATGGGAATTCAACGCGGTAGTTCAAATCACCGAGCCAGAAGAGGTGGGTGAACTGATGCGTGATGTCAAATGGATTGAGCTTCTTGTCTCCCAGATTGAGGAATCGCAGGATGTTGGTGTAGTTTTGATTGCGTCTGCAAAAACAGACGGTTATTGTAAGGACATTGAAACTAGGAAACAAAGTCAAAGGTTCTTCAAAAACGGAAACACTATTTTCTGCTTTGACATACATGTATATTTATAAATCAAAGAGGTATTCTAAGAAAATTGTTATTTTCCTAATAATGATAGTCAAACATAAATGCTAAATTATATTTGGACCCTCGTATTATTTATGTACTTACGCTATATCAATATCTATTTGACTGATCATTTTGTGTTGAAATATTTAAATGAAAGAATATATAAATCCTTATTGTCTCTGATCTGCAGATGTGCATATCTTTTTTTATCTCTTTTTTTGGAAATTTATTTGGAAATAAAGAGGAAAGGATTTCCCGACAAAACATGCAGTGAAAGTAAGGGTCAAATCTACGGAAATGTTATCTATGGTGGCCCTGAAGTGCTCAACACCTAAATGTAATTGAACAACAAAACACCAGTAAAACAATGGTGAGACACTAGTAGGACACTTTTAAGACACTCGTAAAACATTGCCATCTCTCCGTGACTTTCTGCTGCGTCACTTCCACCCTCATCACAGGCTCTCAGTCCCGCCTCTGATTTATTAATTGACAGAATATCTAGAAAGCGGCATTTCTCAGCTTTCAGAATCCGATTGTGCAAATAGTTAAGGAGTCACGGTAATTTGAATCCTCTATGTCACTTTCCGTCGCCGGCGAAAGGCTTCGGATAAAGAGGGTTAAAAGACAGACAGACAGACAGACTTCCTGCTCCCCTTTCCGTAAAAAATAAAAAAAAAAATAAGAGTAAAATAAACGAAAATATAGAGCTCTTTTCTTTTGAGACATTTTTTACTATGGTTTTAATAGAAATAGTTAATTTTGCATAGCGCCTGAGAAGTAAAAACCTGGGACAAATGATTAAATCAACACAAGCAAAATTTAAAGTGCTTATAGAGAGTTATTTTAAAACTGAAACTGAAAACCCACAATTGAAATTTTAACGGTCTGACTTTGTTAAAAATTTAATTTCTTGCACACCTGAGCTTCTTCTCACTTCCAGAGGTCAGGTGACTGTTGACGAAGCCAAAGGAGGTGCCCTTGAACATGAAGGACACTCCCACTGCCCCCTTGTTACCTACAAAGACACAGTGAGTTATGGGTAATTGACCCTTTGAGCCAGGTCAACGAATGCCCCGCAAAGAAGTGGAAGCGTGTACCCAGCGTGTTGGCGATCCCCGTCTTCACGCTGTCTGAGAACACGTGGGAGATCCTGTTCTCGTGTTCAGGCTTCGCCAGAACCACGATCCGTATGTTCCACAGGGTGTGGATCGCCACCTGGGTGTCAGGAGACAAAGGTGACGCATCGGTGCGGCGCACACGCGCGGCCTCCTTACTCCGTCACGTTCACTCACTTGTTTGAAGCTGATGTTGGTGATTTTCCTCAGGACACCTTTCAATGTGTATGCCCACTCCCTCTCCCCCAAAGGGTCCTCCTGGGTCCCGATGACGTAGAAGTCATGCGGGATGTGATCTGCCGTGTCGTCTCGGGTCTTGCCTTGTCCTTTACACTGAAACCAGGAGTCGATGTTGTGTGGAGGACCGGCGTTTCCTGCGGGTTTGTGGAGAAGTTTTGTACCTTGTGGTTCATCAAAATTGTGTTAAACATTAACGTTAAGACGTTAACATTGTTACCCATGTTCCAAGTGCCAACGAACACTGTGATCATGTCTGGCTCAGGCTTCTCAGAGTGTTTGTTCTTCATCTGTTGAAGGAGTTGGCAAAAGCCCTCCCTTTTCTGGTGGATTCAGAAAGGAAAAGGGAATAACACCATTTTTGGTGCAATTTCACTTGACTGAAGGAAGCCCCTGAAATAGTATTTCCTCAATCAACTAACTAACTAACAGGCTCCCACATGAACGCTGATCTGTTTGCTTATTTCATGTGCTGACGATGGTGGATTTGATGCTAATGTAATACTCCCAGTGTCTCTCAAATTTGAACAATCAATATCTAATGTTATAGAGAAAAACTTTCCAGGGGCTTCGGGGGGACTAAGCCAAATGATAAGATGTGTTTCTTCACCTTTGTATCATCAAACGTAAACTCTTTTCGCAAAATCTTCTCTTTCTCTGTCTCCGCCACGATGACAAGTTTGGCATGCATTCGCTGCGACTTCACCAACTGCAGGACTGAAAAATGGTTCAAATGAGCTGCATTGATGGTTTACAGCAGTTGTTGAAGTAAAAGTAAGAAGTCCGGGGGCCCTGATTGACCATGAACAAAATTCAATGGCAGTCCATCCAATAATTATTGAAATAATATAATGAATAATAAAAGGACCGGACCCACAGACTAACCATTTCCACAAACAACGGAATGAGGCGAAGTTTCTTACTTTTGTTGTGCACAAAGAATTTGTCGTCAGGCCCGTCTTTCGACTTCTTGAGAAAGAGCTTCCCACTTTCCACATCCACTTTTAGGAACATCTTTGTAGGAATAGCCAGAGATTCTTGCTTGACCTGCAAGTGACAGAAGAAACGGGTCAAAAAACTGCAAACCTCCAGACATTTTTCACAATGTAATGTGAATGCGTTTTTACAGAGTCACTAATTTTGAAAAGCACCTCAAACGTGACAACAGGTATCAAGGATTTTCTGTGGCCTCCTTCATTGCCAACAGACTCAAACAAAGACATTTTAGCCTGAAAGAGAAAAAGAGAAATACAGAAGGTGTTTGTCAAGTGACAAACAATAACAAAGATTGTTTACCATGAGGCAGTAAAATGAGCCACGTTACCTTATCTTCTATACAGTAGAGCAGTTTTGTCAGCCTCTCAAGCTTGAAGGATATAGATTGACCGGAATCCCAATTCTGAAATTCAAGCAAATAATACATGTGAAAAGGGCTTTTTGTGTGTGCTGATAAAGGATCAAGGGAGCCACCTACTTGTTTTGGAGTCTGTCCAATCCCGGGGGAGAGCTGTTGGTCCAGCGCTCGATGGAAGACCTCCAGAACTGGGAGGATGCGGGAGATTTCGCTTTCTCACGAAAAAAGTACAGAGCATTGTTTGATCGGCCCTTTATGCAGCGGTCGCTACAATATATGTATGTTAATGTACCTGTTTAGATTCTTGCAGATATCCATTGTCAGCTTCTTTAGCCCAGGCAGGTTAGGGTAACCAAACTGTACTTGTTCAGCATCCAAGCTGATCGAGGTCCTGAAGTATTCTTGGAGAGCCGTTTGATGCTCCTCTGGTATTCTGGAAACATACCAAACACTTTAAACGCTGCTAAATCATCATGAAGGCGCTGCAGGAATGAGAAAGAAATAACTTACAGAACTTCCAGTTCCCTGCAAAAAATATATATATATTTTTTTTATTGGGTTCTTGCTTCCAGTGCAGCGCTAACCTCCGGGGTTTGGACTACAAACATATGTCCTCTCTGCAGCACTCTATTCACACTCCGGCTCAATCACATGACGCCGAACCACTGCTCATAATTGGAGCATTCAACAAATTGTACATACTGTACGCTGCCAGTGTATTATCAGAAGCTTTGCATAGTGTGTTCTCTGGCTGAGGTGCATAAGTAGAAATTCTGCAAATGTGACCATACATGGACATGTCCATATGCTGCAGTCTCATCAGGTAGGTGTCCGATAAGGACTTGCAGCTTTGCTCAGAAGACTTGGGTTCACTGTCTTTCCCATCGTTGGCCAAGAAGTTCCTGGGTGGGAGCTGCGGTGGAAGATTATTGGATTCTGCAGGACAGAGAGGGGGAGTATGGGGTTGTTTAAGAACAGCCACGTTACATTGTACACTGTTCAGATGAAGTGAAGTTGTTTGACCTGGCTCCTCGTCCATCTCGTCCTCCCTCAGGACAGGGTACTGCAGGTGCGTGATCAGACCCATGTTGGGACTGTAATATGCCTCCACAAGCTCAGGTAGCATAGAGAAGAACCTGATAGGAACTCCTTCAGATGCCTGAAGAGCAGATCACAGCAGACACGTATGGTAATTGTCCTCTAAGCTCGTGTGGTGCTGTTGTTTTTCGGGAAGACTTTTATATCTTTTTGTTTTGTTGGTTAACATAAACGTCCGACTCTTCTTCCTGTCCCTGTACGGCGCTCTTTCAAAACATTTAAGACATGTTGGTGCCTTGATTTAGTTTATTGTCATTTCCTCACTAACAATTGGTAGCATGCTGGTATTTCATACTAGCAGCGATTTTGTTTGTTCAATTGTTGATTGATTTTTCAGAAGTCTATTCCACCCTGTTATTCTTTATAAAACCGTATGTCCTTTTAGTGGTAAATGCGCATGGTCCCATGTGATTCTCTCTTCAGCTTTAACTCGATGCCATTCTGTAGTCACTCTTCAGCAGTCACTGTTCTCTTTGAAAGTGGACATTTTCCAGTAAAGATATACTTGTATCCTCATACAGAAGGCTTTATGCACTAATAACTGTGTCAGCCGTACCTTTGTCAGCAGCTACGCTATTAAAAATTGCTAGCTAGGTGTGGAAGTTCAAATGATCTCCAAAGAAATGCAAATGCCCCCTAAGCCCCCCCCCACCTGTCAAGCCACCACACGGCCCACGCTGTCACAAACTGCAGGAACATTTTCTTATTTTGTGGAAACCGAAAACGAGACTTCAGGGAGAAGGCTTTAGAAACATATATGTCGGAGATTTCCAAACTCTCGTGGCTATTACACAATGTTTTCACATCTTCCAGCTCCAAATCCACCAAACCAGCCAAAAAAGGCTGAATCGACTTAATGAGAGTTTATGGAGCAAAGGCGCTGAGCTGACAGGAAACCTGGTTTCATGCTATAGCTGGCCAGTCTGTGCCGGGGAGGGACTCAGCAAGGGGTCGTCCTGTGGGGGCGATGAATGTCTGCACACAATCTTTGAGAGTTGTTGAAGCGTGGACCAAAGAGGCTGACTGACCACCCGACACACATTGCCATGCCCGGTAAACAGGTTGCTGAATAGATTACTCGTAGGTAGGGGCAGGGTTCAGAAAAAGCTTCACATAAGTATGTAATTCTGATACCAGAGTCATTTCCTTCATCTTCCAAATACCTAATACCAACGTAGGGAATTTGTGTCCGGTTTGCTTCCATGACTCCGTTTTCCTTACACAAGTCAACCACACAACCACAACGATTAATCCGTCTCTGGACCGACACAATGCTGGCTTGTGTCCAGCTGTCAACCCACCTGGACAGAGAGCTTCTTATCTTCATTTGGCAGGATTCTGTAAGTGTAGACACAGTTCTGGAATCTGCAGTCAAAATAATGCAAATGTGTGTCACTGGAAGAGAACATGTGTTGTGAGCAAAGGAAACATGTTGGTTGGAGTTTTTGATATGTTCCGCATGCAAAGAGTTTGTATGGTGTTTTAGATGGTGGTTCCTTCTTGAAAAATGACATGAGTTGCAAAGGGCAACGGGTGTTGCTTTGTGGCAGCGCAGTATCAAAATAAAGAGGAACTAGTCATGCACCGCAGTGCAAAGTGTTATAACACATTGAACTGTTTCTCATGTTATATCTAAAAAAAACCATTCCATATAACAGCCATGTTATTTGTTTTCCATTAGTTAGGACCAAACCCATCTCATGTTACATATTAGGAAAGTGTTTGAACAAGGAAGAATAATTATTAAACACTTTCTAAAACTGTCAGTGCAATAGTTTGAAACAAGTAAGGCCAACTTACAGAACACAGAGGGCATACGCGCCCTTTATGGACTCACTGGCCCGGATAAGAAAGCTTCCATCTCTTGCTGCTTTGGAAAGCAGATCCTCAGCTTGGGAACGAGTTATAGTACCATGGCACCAAGGCTGATAGATCGGCATCCTGTTCCTCACCCGAGAGCTTGAGCTCAAGAGTTTTGCATCTGATCTCAAACTATATTCCAGCGGACCAAAGTAGAAGTTATTCTCTCTGGCTGTTGTCAACTTTTCATGGTGCGTGCTTTGAAGTCCTTTCTTTCACTTGTTCATCCCCTGCCTCTGCAAGCTACAAAAGGAAGCTGCTACTAGATCGCCTCTGAACTTCCTCATTTGACAAGTCGAGAGAGGAGGGCTGTGCTGCCTGCGCTCTGCTTGTAACGTGACAGGTCTGCAGAGCTGTAAATGGAAATACTTACTTTCACTTGCCGAGTACACTACACACTACTTTAATAATTAACCCGCAGTCTCAGTGCACCTGCTCGCCAACTGGAACGGCACACAAAGAAAGTGAATCCATTTATTAAGTTAAAAGAAGTGAAACAGGGAAGTGACAAAACAAAGCATTCATAGTCAAGGACTCTTCTGATAATGTGCTTGTGGATACGTTCAAAGCCTAATTTGGTTGCCAGTTAGCTCAAATCCCCTTTGGTCGAGATTAAAACATGCGGCCACATCGAGCCGAGACGACGCGTACTGAGTTTCCACCCATTCGTTAAGAAGCAAAAGGGCTCGGGTTCGCCGAAAATGTGTACACTCAGGAAATACAAGTTTAAAATGGCTTGCCCTGTTCATGTGATGGACAGGAAGTCTTGCAGAAATAAGGGGAGGAAAATGAGCCGCACACAAACCACAGCACGGGTCACATGATGAAAAAGAGAAGTACGCAGTGACAAGTCACTGCAGCCCCGGAGGTTTCTGCTCGAAAATAGGTCTCCCACTTTCACAAAGAGCAGGTCGAAGTCTGAGATATTTGGCGGCAGTGTAATAAAGATAGAGGAGGTAGAGGAGGTGAAATCAAACATTTATTCAGTTATTATTTAAGACTGCAAAGTACATTTTCTTGCTTACCCAGCCGTGTGAATCATGTTTGTCCGCCAAACATAATTATTCTGCAAATGGCGTTGAGCCAAACTAACATGGTAAAAAAAAAAGTTTGTCATGCAATAGTGCAATATCATCTAAATGTGGACCAAATAATGAATGCATAGCATAGAAGAGTAAATGAAGAATATATGTACAATTAAGATTGGTCTAACAAAAAGTAAAATATACAGTGTACCATAAAAATACATTTATAAGCGGGTTTAAAATATTAAAACAAGACAAAAGTCTACAGTCATGCTTACATGTCTGAGAGGCTTTATAGGCAAAATCAGGCATGCTAGAACGCTCAGAATGTCAATGGTAACAAGCTGATGTGGCGGATATAATGGCAATGCCTTAGCACTGGTTGTGCTGGCATGCTAACAGTTGCTAATCAACCCTTAAAGCAAAGCACAGTCGAGGCTAATAGGAACGTCATTAATTCTGCGGGTATTAGTCATACAAACCAGTATTTCACAGAAACCCTGTCAGATTGGAAACCGTACAGCGGTTTTCAGAGCCATCAAACGGGTGCTGAGATATTTCGGTCTTCCCAAAGACACCCTAGATAACACGTTTTTATTAAGTATTCATCACATTTGGCATAGGATACAGAAACAGTAGCAGGTAGAAGTATTGATTGAAAGGAGACTATGTACATATTTCATGTTTGACACGAAAAGCTTGTGGAAATGGCGGACGCATCAACATCCTTCTTGTTGAGGTCAGGTTGGAAACGGGAGCCTCGTAGTCTCACAGACATTGATGGCTTCCTCTTCGAGGGCTAATGTTGGGAGGGTTTTCTGGTGAACTTTATGCACACTTTCTGCAAGTCCCCAGACATCGGTCATATGATGGCGTCAAGGTATCTTCCAAATATGGGAATATAGGTGGAAAGTACCATTTAGATTTTAAACGAGGGTGCAAAAAATAATTATCTTCCGTTGATTACGTTACAAATGGAATATAAGTTTCCTAATTAATGGGCACAGGAACGTCACAACGTGCTGTCCTAGTCCTCACATGTTGGCTGCAGTCCTTACACTCTGCGGCACTCACACAGTTAAAACCCGTGAGACGTAGTGTGGACACTGAAACGGCTTTTCAAGTTCAGGGGACTACAGTGGCACGTCAAACACACAAACACTCGATTCGATTTTCCTTTGCGTTGTAAATGCATCTTTGTCGAACCATGCTGCGCATCGAGTTCAAATCCCGTCTCATCAGAACTCAGACTTGGCGCTCACAGAGCTCTCGTGTGTTCCCTTCAACTCTCCGCTGGTGGCTCCCGACATGCTCGCCGGATCTTTGCAAAACAATCGCATCAGAGTGCCGCGGAACTTCTCTGCGCCAAACAGGTAGATCAGCGGGTCCATGGCACCGTTGAGGCAGGTGAGGGAGGAGGTGAGGCGGTTGGCCAGGCTCAGGCCTCTGCGTGTCTGGCATGAGACGTCGGGGTGGCTGTAGCCCAGGATGAAAGTGGCCCTGCTCACATGGTAGGGCAGGAAGCAGACCACGTAGATGAGCATGACCAGGCCGATGGTGCGCAGGGCCCTCAGCTTGAGGGTTGGCTCTAGCCTGGAGCCCCGGTGCAGGCTGCGGATGATGAGCAGGTAACAGGTCAGGGTGGCGAGGAACGGCGGGGTGAAGGCCACAGCCAGGGAGATCAGTGCCTTGTGCGAGGCCTTCTCTCTGTACAGCTGCGAGCACACCGTCACACCGTTCACCTCTGACGTCTGGTGGGTGATAAGCAGCGGCGCCATGGAGACGGTAACTAGGGCCCACAGCGAGAAGCTGACGATGTGGGCATAGCGGGCACGGCGGACCTTCAGCGACCTCACAGCGTGCACCACGGCCATGTAGCGATCCACCGCCACGCAGGCCAGGAAGTACAGGCTGGCGTACATGTTGACGTAGAACAGGAATCCCGCCAGCCTGCAGGGCACCTCGCCAAAGGGCCAGTGGCCCCCAGTGAGGTGGTAGGTGGCCCTCAGAGGGAGGATGATCACGTAGGACAAGTCTGCCACAGCCAGGTGAATTAAGAAGACGTTAGCTGGGGAGGAGGCACCACGCTGGTGAGAGAAGATCCAGAGAGCCAGGCTGTTGCCATTCAGCGCCAGGAAGAAAACCAGGATGTAGAAGCATCCAAACAGCGTGTTCTCAAGGGTTGTGTCCACTGCTGCGCAGCTCTCGGACTGATTGGATAGCAGGGAGGGCAACTCCAGTGCAGCAGACTCCATTTTGGTGACTGAGGAAACAAGAAAAATTGTCTTAAATTGACCTTAAAAGCAATTTCTGGAATAATTACTGGAAACATTTCCTCCCTTTGGGATTATTAGTAAAGCAACTAATGTATATTTGCAGGATGGATACAACTGAAACAGTCCATTGGAGACATTTGTAAACACATGCTTTTGATTTCTATAATTGTTCTTTGTTACAATTGACAGGAAACCCAACCGCTGTCCACTGGGCTCTCTGCTCTCCACACACAAACACATACGTGCACACACGCTCACACAGACACACACGCTCACAATAGGCAGGGAGAGTACTTGTCACAGCGCCAGCCTCAAGGTAACAATAGATGTCAGTGTCCCGGCTAATGTGCACATGCCTTCCGAGCGGATAATCACTTCATTCTGACCCAAGTATTGGACTTCCTCCGCACACTATTACGCTCAGGAAGTCCAAGTCATCAGATCTTTTCTCTGAGGCGTATTTGGCGGCAGGGTCTGATTTGTCAGCAAGTAACTTTCACGTAGTCTGAAGCAAACTCTGACAAATACTGTGCACTAAGCACTAATTAGCTGCTTTATGCGTAATGATATAGTCATCAGATCAGATGCTGTTATGCTAGCTTAGCAGATAGGAGTGAAAATGTGTTTAAATGTATGTAAGCTAGCTGTTCTCCTCTTCCTATCTCTATGCTAAGCTAAGCTAGTTGAATCTTCTCATGAATTTTGTCTCCTTAGTGGCAGTTTGACGTTTAAACGGACCAACATAACTTTGTACCGTTCCTCAAAAGATTCATTGTGGTTTTTGTGGAGGATTGTTTGGCCACACCTTAAAATATCTCCTCCCACTATAGCAACGGGTTCCAGCTGTCCACTCCTCTTTATTTTGTTTTATGTCCTCCTACTCTTCCATAGCCAAACATCTCTGGGGCGTGAACGCCGCTCATTAACGTCAGCGAAGGCTTCGCTAGAACTTTCACTTTGACATTTGTGGGGAATGAAAACATGTGCAGCAGAGGATGACCTTGTCGTTCCACAGATGTTTCTAGCTGTTGGGAGGTGCCCAAATACACAACGCAAACAGCTCCCAGACAGAGAACTGTGTACAAGTAAAGCTTCACCATCACAGGGGTTCAGAACAAAAAGTATAACGGTATTGTCCTCTCTTTTATCTGGCTGGGCTCCTGCACATGCTGGAGCTGTGAGACCCTCAGCGGAGGGCCTTTCTCAGCCAACGGCTCAGACGGGGCACATTCAGGAGCCCCCCCTCCCCCCGACACTCCCCAAAAAAATGGTTGTAGTCCCAGCAGGGATAACAAACCGGGGGCTGCAGCGCTGAATGAAAAAGCTCCCATAAATACGGATCCCCGAGGGATAATCCTAAAGAGAGGCCAATCCTGAAATATGCCTTTATCACAGGGACGTGGCTGAGCAGATCCACGGCAGAGAGGAGACCGAGCATCCTGGCTCCGGTCCTCTCCGGGGATTAGTCGCTAACAATTTGGTGGAGCAAAGCACTGACAGCTGTAATGTGTACAAGCTTCGTTTGTTCAAATTCATCACAGCTAAAGTCAAAGAAGAACAAAGTCAATGTGAAATTTGGAAATTGGAATGAATGCTCGTGCACCTGGTATTGACTGACTGAGAGTCAGTGAAAAGCAGATTGTCTTCATCAAACCGGTCCCACTGCGGAGCGGTTTGGGGATTTACATGACCGAAGTAACTCAACTCTCACACCAAGTGCACAGTGAATTTTGTAGCTGAAGGATAAATTGATTTTACGGCATTGTTTTGTGCAACAACAAAAAAACACAGCACTGCACTGTGAAAACATGAGGAAATCCCAGACTTTAAATAAAGTCAAAAAACATCTCTACTGCTCCATCACACTCTGAGGGAAAATAACAGACTTACCGGAGCTTTGCAGTCTTGAAGAAAAAGCTCAGCTGCGTTGGGAACAATTCAGCTGCTGAACAATCAGCGCGGCTGCAGAGTGAAGACGGGGAGAGCAACAGGCGAGCTGTGGGAGAAGCGAAGCTCAGACACAAAGAGCGCTGTCCTATAACGCTTCCACGCTCCCTCAAGATGTCCCATGCAATGAGACTGTAGCTCTTTTTGTGTCTCAACTAAATTTGATAACAGCAACGGAGTCCCAATGGGAGCCGCTCATTTGAACCTTGACCCCGCCCTTTCTTTATCCATCCCCTTCTCCTCAGAGAGCCACTTGTGCGCTCCACAATAGCCTGAGTCAGAATAAGCGGCACATTTCAGCAGCAGGAAGAAGAATGGCATGCCTCAGTCGCAAGGAGACGTCGGGTATGACTCCATGGAAACGAGGCCCGGTGGTTCACCGAGTGCCTTTAGCCATGAACTCCCCCCCCCCCCACTGATAGATAGAAGATGAACTGTGTCGTTCATCTAGAGGTTTATGACTAAAGCCTCAGAGATAATCTTTTGTATCTGCTGTGTTCACTACAGAGGGGCCCATTCCCTATGGGGGAGCGCGGGTAAAAACAAGGGCGGGAGGGGTTGCGGGGGGGGCAGGCTTTGAGGAAACAGAGGCCCTTGTTGGTCTCTTGCCTCCTGGGGGCATCCTGAATTGGAATGGCCAAAATAATCAGTCACATAGCCATCAGACAGATGTGGGGAGAAGACCCGCTGGCTGAGGGGGGATAATATTTCTTTCATGCAAGCAGCTCACAGCTGTGTGTCACAGACATCGGCCCCCTCTCTTCTCTGCATCATCGATATGCAAATGGAATTCTGTAGACTTGAATGGAGGCTCTATCGGTGCAGGACGGCGCAGAAGCTTTGACATAACAACCCTGTTAATCTACTGCCAAAGCGCTAATTGGGACGGCCCCCGGCTTTTGTTTTCGGCTCCTCGGTCCTGTCTGCTGCGCGTCTCGTAACCCCCGAAGCAAAAAACATCGCCTTGCTATTAGAAATGTGTCATTCTTCTTACAGCGGTGGAGGAGAGGCTCCCGTCTGCTGGTGCAAAATAAGATGATCTAAACAGACTTCCACTGGGAAGATGTTTTTATTATTGGTTATCTGCACAGAAAAACAATGAACTTTTAACAATTTTATTGATTGGTTTGTTTTCATGATCAAGATAAGGAAGTTAAAACATGGATTTATTCATGGTCAGGGTTACAAACAGTGTTTGCACTATGAAGCAATGTTTTTAGTGTGTGTGGCGATCTGGGAATAAAAAAAAACAATGCTTCCCATGCATCTCAATGTAAACAAAAATAGAAATGTGTTTCACCAGTGTGCATTAAATATGTTGGGTAAAATGTTATAACAAACTCTGTTATACAAAGGAAGTATTATGAAATAAGTTGGTAATAACGAGTAGTGGGATTTATTGCAGTTTGTCGTATCTTTTTAGACTTTAAAGAATTTAGAAAACCCACCTCATACATATTAGTACATTTCGTCGATATTTATAGATCACAAAACGCATTGTTTTACAGAGCCTATTTTTGTCATAAATTCAGAGCTGTGTGCATAGTATTAATTTTACATGAGACATGTGTTACGGGTTACGTTACTTGAACATCAGAGAAATATTAGTTTCAATAAACTGGGATAAATCTACAAAAACTGCGTGAATCATTTTTTATACTGAGCACAAAACAAGTTGATTGCACTTTAAAAAACAGAAAACATCTCCAGCTCCGCCTCCCTTTGTGTGTCTGGACTCCAGGGTGAATTTGTTGGCTCCGTATCGGCAGCTTCTTGCTGCTGAGGTTCACATGTTGAAGCGCTGGTTCCTGGTTTGCAGAACCTTCTGCTCATTGAGGTACATTGTGACATAGGAGGTTATGAGATCATCCATCTTGTAACCCTTTTCAAAAATAGACACAGGGGGAAAGAAAGGACAATGTTTTACTCTTTAATCTTTCTAAATATTTAGCACACAAAGCGCACATGTCTGATGATAGACCTTACCAGTGAGGTTTCACACAGGAATTTGCTCCCCTTGACTAAATTGCCGATTGTCATGTGAAAGTAGGTGCTTCCACTGCACCAGTTAGCGATACGGTTGAACGGGTGGTTTGCCAGCACCTCCTTTACCAGAAAGAGAATCGCTGATGTTCAAGAACCGGAGCATCAACTCAAAAGGGAAAAGTGTTGAATTTGATCCGTTTTTCACCTTGGATTTAGGGTGGATGATGGTGAGTCCTTCCTTGCTGACGGCTATGCGCACAATATCTGGGAAACTTGGTTCGGATGTTTGCTGAGAAAGAAGTGAGAGAACTTTTTTTCCCCGCAGTCATCACACAGGGGATCAGATAAACATGCCGCCCACCCGACCCGAACCCAATAGATGGCAAGATAAAGCCCCATTTGTGCTACTTTCAGTGCAGCCCTCACCTTCACTTCAAAGAATGCACAACCGAAAGTCGGCCAGCGGCAGACCGCCTTGAGAAAAGCCACCTTGGCGTCTTCAACGGTCGTGCCAGCTTGTTTGTTGTAGGAGGCGACAATAGTCTGAAAATGAAAGAAATACACATCACACTATGGCGCAACACTCTTATTTTGTACACGTTTTTTGTTCTGCTTCTAATGAGGTTAATCATTTTTCAAGGCCGGCATTTCACAGCCACTTTCAGAGAGTTGAGGTTGAGGTCATAGGATGGCATGATGATGGTTTTACTCGAAAGGAGTGTATCCACAGACTGTGGCATAAAAAAAACAATAAAAATACATCTGTTAGCCAGACTATTGCACCGGTGGACTGTGGCTCCGATCACATTGACGAATGTTGCTACAGAAAACCGCCTTAGAGAAAGAGCAGCAGGCCGAACGGCGTGCTCTTGTTGTTAAAATCATAATTACAGGGTGACCTTGAAATATATTGTCCATCATCGATAAAAACAGCGAACCGTGCCTTCCTTTGCATCCTATGTCATTTCGTGAGGTGTTGATAATATAAAAAACTAAATTGCTGACTCATAGGAAAGTCAGTCATACCTTTTTCCATTCATTTTCCGACATGGCCTTCAGCTGGTCGGCGGGCACCAGCTCCTTCAGCATCTTGGGAATCATGACCAGCTGGCTCTTGTCATTGCCGACCTTTATCTTAAAGAGCAGGGCTGCAATGTTGACCATTTCTTCTTTGGTACAAACATGATAGCCCCTCAGGTACTTTGGTAGCTCCTGGAGGAGGGAAAGGTGTCTTGAATATAGAGTACAAGTATTGTGGAAAGTTTGACCATCTGTAACTTTCCGTCTGGTTGTAATGAGAAGGAAAAAGCAGTATGGATCCTTACACATCAATATGTCAGATAAGATTATGCTCATGGAAAATGTGGCCTTTTTATATCACGCGGATAAAACAACCGGCCTGAAAACGGTGATAGAGGACGGCCAGCATCATTCAAATGTACCTGAGGGAAATGGAAGATAAGATCTGCTTCTGCGTCTCTGCCCGGGATCACATTGAACCACAACTTCCTCATGAAGAACACAAGGTAGGCTATGTTGACTGGCCCGCCTGCAGTGCGCACACACACACACAAACAAGAGGTTTTATACAGGAAAATACAGGCAAACCGTTGCCAAATGTGTGCCCGGCCCTGCCATCGGATAACGTCTCTTTACCGTCTTTGATCCTCTTGGCTTTCTTGGACCAGTCGGTGATTTGCCTCAGACTGTCAAAGAAGTAGTCTGTGTCATTCAAACTGAGGACCTGAAATAAACATCACAAACGTTCTTCAAACAACCAGCGCAGGAGGAAATCCATGAATCAAACAGCAAAATATAACAGTTTGATAAACACACCGTGTCTTGTGTTTTGACAAAAATGCTGAAGCCGTCAGCTGAAGCCAGACTGAGCTTCTTGGTGATGTTCTGGATGAGATCCTTGATCCTGGTATTTGTCGCAACCTCAAATATCTGCCGAAGGGTGAGGGGAATCGCTGCGATTACTGTGCGAATATATATCGGACCCGGCGTGATTGTGCACCTTCAACGTTCTGCGCTACCTCCTCCGTGTCGTTGGGGAAGTGAATTTTGTGGAAGATCTGCGTGCTGTTCTGCTGGATGGCGTCTACCTCCGTCTGGTGCGGTGGGAGCTTCCTGGGCTCCATCCTACCACGTAAAGAAAAAAGCACACACACACACACACACACACACACACACACACACACACACACACAAAAAAAGGTCTCTTGGTGCCCGGTGCCGTTATGGAAATCATACTAAATGTCAAATGTATTTATAGAGGACATACAAATGGTGAGTGTGTTCATGCCACTGTGAAGGTGTTGCAACACAACCTCAGCATTGCTGCAAGCAGGTCCTTCCTTAAACTGCACGATTTGCCCTCAACATACCAGACTGAAAGTGTACTTTGGCTGCGTTGGTTCAGTATTCAGAGAGCGCGAACAACTCAAAAGTCTGGGTTTCTTCGCGCGCACACACACACACACACACACACACACAACGGCACACGCATGTCGTCCAGCCCTCCTCTGAAAGCGGAAGGGAAGCCTCGCCGCTGCGTGTGTTTCTGGCGTGTGTGTCTGACCTCAGGGAGCTCTGCAGACGCTGCAGGCAGTCGGCGGCGAGGGGCTCTCTGCTGCGGGTCTCCAGGAATCGCCGAGCGTGCCTGAGAAGAGACTGGCTGGGAGCAAACAGGCCGCAGCAGAGCCACAGCAGCTGCCAGCCCTGCTCCACGCTGAGCCTGCGAGACGACGGAAAGGGCGACAGAAAAATGATGAAGTCTGGAGTTCGTGTTCAAAACCGTGGTGCTTCAGTCCTCTTTAGGGAAAATGTATATTCTTCTTTTTATTAGACTGTCTAAATAATTAAAGATGAGGAGAACACTGCTTAAATGTATCAGTTAGCTTTTGATTAAGCTTAGAATCTTGTTTTTTATTATTTTTTTAATCATATGCTGCGCTGTTCTTAGTATCAATTAATCTATTTACAGAGACAAAACCCTGTATCAATACAGCCCACTACATCTTAAACAGAAATTCTACAGCAAATGGAGAAAAGTGAGTATAACAAGCGCACCTGTTGTTATTGCCACTCATCTGCTTCATGATCTGGCAATAGATCTCATCCCTGAGCGCCTCGTTCTTAGTGGCGGGGCCGAAGATCTGGTCGGTGAGCTCCAGAGGACTCTGCGTCTGCTTGGTGGGGTAATCTCCCATATATTTCAGGATCGGTACACAACAGTCAAGGAAGAGCCAACATCCTGGTTTGATAAACTCTAATTTGAGATCGATGTGCAGTAAGACGACACGGGGTTCTGGACTACAGAACAGTTTTTCTTGATATATAACATTCTGACTGTTTCATGTTGCTTTTTTGCATGTTTCCCTGGGTTAATATCTTGAAATCACTAACCCAACCAATCAAAGCCTTAGATATTATTCTCTTTAAAAATACACCCCCTTTAAATCCGTAGACATTTGGATTACATCTACATCTTAAAACGTCCGCCTCCTTTTGTTCTTGTGCAATTTGAACAGCAAAGGTGTCACTTCACAATCTCTTGGTGTTAGTTGACATAACGAACGTGAGACCCTGGGGAGATAGGGGCGACTCCTAGTCTCTTCTCTACTGTGGGCCAAACTTTATTGAGCTACCTGAAGACCCTTTAGGCATCTGCGCCGTCTTACATTTAATACTAAAAAAACAAGTGTTTCTTGGCACCAAAAGGTTTTTTTTTTTAGACTTGGGGAACTAGATCATCCAGGCAGGAGTAGGATTGAAGCACAGTTTAAAGGAAGTTAGGTCAGGCTTAGTTGAGGTGTCCACTGAGGCAAAGAACACAATTTGTTGTGGGATTCCAGAGAAATGTCCAGCTTCTGAAATAGGCCCATGTTGTGTAGGTTTCCCTCCCGAGACAAGAAATGCAGCGCTAAAGAAAACAACAGAAACTGCGTTGTGTAAAGGATATCGGTGAATGCCAGACAGGCCTTGTGGCTGAGCTCTGGGTTGCCCACCAGCTTCTTAAGGAGGGGCTGTCTGATGGGCTCTCTGGAGTTTGCCCACAGCCTCTCAGGAGCGGCGTTCCTGGACATCACCTGACGGTTCACATCCTTACTGGGCTGCCTGAGGGATCAAAGGATTCCTGCTGTCAGCGCGGTGCAGGAAAATGCTGTGCAGCGTTTTCCTGGTAAGATCAAGTTGGGTAATTCCAGATACCTGAAGTACTCCAGGGAGAATTCTCTCAGCGTGGCAGGAGCTAATCTCTCCATCGTTCCTGTTTCCTTCTGGTTTTCCCGGATGATGTTCTCTCTCTGGTTAGGAGACAAGTTGAGCAGGCTCTGGAAAAAAAAAAAAAAAAGGAAGAAAAACATTCAATGCGTCTCGGATCCTGCGCGCGGTGACTTGTTCGTAGAAGGACGCGATGGGGACGTCTCTGTACCATGACCGCATTGGTGGGTTTGCTGAGTGTGGGCAGGATTAAGATGGCCTCGGTGGGGACGGCTCCCGTTTGTCTCGTGCTCTCACTTTGGCCCTTTATCCAGCCGCGCTGCTCAGAAAACTCATCATCTTTGATTATTATAATGAGCTCTCCTTTCTTGAAACTCAGGAATGTGGGGTCATCTGCAGAGGAACGGACGTGGCCACAGAAATCCGTTAGCAATTAGCATCAACGAGCGACCCTAACAGAGATAACTCAGCTGCGGCCATAGATAAAATCTGATCCTCCGACCTTGCCTGTCGGCCTCCTTCAGGGTCACAGCATACTTGGATCTCTCCCTCAGGCCACTGAGGAACATTGTCACCAGCTCCGCCATGTCCTCGGCTGTGCCTCCGCTCAGACTGAAGTCTCCTTTCAGTGTCAGCAGGTTGACTGCCTGGCCGGAGCCTTTAGCCTCCCTGAAAGTCAAAGCATAAGGGACACCACGCAGTGGTAGGAGACCACTCCTCGTTTCCTTCTCCTTTGATGTCTACCTCATGGTGTGGACTCCGGTGACCTCCGGGAAGGAGAGCTCCAGCAGCCTCTTCTCCCGCTCGTCCAGGAAAGTGATACCGGTCCAGTTTATGGCCACGATGAACTTGCTCTTCGGCAGCGCAGGGCCTTAAAAAGAGCCACGGAGGGAACCAGATTATTAAACCAGAACTAGGAAGTTAATTATGACGGACATTCCTGAGCCGCGGTGCTGCTCGCATGAATCATTGCAGACACCCTGAAGGGTCAACTCTTTTTCCCCCCCTTTCGGGGCTCCGTAAAAATGTCAGAAAATAGTGAAATATGCCCCTTTTCAAACCGAGGGAGAAGGGACACATTGTGGACGTAGAGGGGGTCGCCAACCTTTTGGATGACGTACCATTTCTAAACGTTCCAGTTAGTCAGTGTTCTACGTCATAATTGAGGTTAACATTAAGTTTAGTTATGGCACAGTATCAAACTGTAGCGCCTTCTTCACTTGAGGCGTTTACTCAGAGGGAGTGTTTAGTGCAGTTTTAGGCTTGAAATGCGTCCCAAAACTCTGCATCGTACATAACCCGCTAAGCTATAAAGACCAGAGAGCTGATAAACCCTGATGCTTTGTGTTTGTACTTTTGAATGTTTTGGTGTAATTTCTTCTCACGTTCCAGCAGCTCCTCTGCTCCCTGTGTCGAGCTGAGCGACTCCACACACACACACACACACACACACACGGAACTAAGTCGGCATAGAGAGCGCAGGCAGAGGCGCTACGAGACCAAAGCAAACCTGAGGAAGTCAAGAGGACTACACTCGCTACTGGGATTGCCATAAAACATTCACGATTTAAAAAGGCATCAAGCATGAAGTGACACCTAATTCAATCGTGTTCAAGCTCAGCACGATATGCCAACAGCTACGAACAAGCTAAAGCAAAAGCTGTGTGTGTGTAGTTAGACGTTTAGCTTAGCTTAGTTAAGTCCTCCAAGTCTCTGCTGGCTGAGACAAGAGAAATGACTGATACTGATGTCGGTCTTCTGGATTCTTTATAAACCACTCAGAAATGTTATCTATTCTTGTGACATTCTATATTTGTATCCTGTGAGATATTCATTACTTTATAAAAATTAATTTGCTGTTATAAACAGTACGGTTGCCTCGCCAGAAACAATATTTAGAATTTAGATCAATCGAAAAAAGAAATAAACTCTAATTCTGAATTTATTTATTTTAAAATGTCTTTATCTCTTTAAATATAATTATTTAGTCGTGTAAAACAGAGTTATGATAAGAGTAGCAATAAAATACCAAAAACAACTATGGTGGAAATAATGATATGTCCTTGTGAAGAGGGAAATAAAGTTATATAGAGAGTATAATGGAGTATTATTAGTAAGAAGGTAAATGCAATTTGATGATTTAGGTATTAATTTAAGCATAAACATCTTTAAATTGTTCACTGCATTAGTTCTAGTGAGGAATGGTGACGTGGAAGCCTGTGTAATTACTTGGATTACTATGAGTTACTAATCACTCATATCAGCAGCATGTTGCCATTTGATCTGCTGCATTAATCATCTACGGAGTCAGTGAGTCACACTTCATTCTCATTAAACCGCTCCGACGTATCGCTTCGCAAAATGGTTGTTCACAGCATCATATCTTAAATCCAAGGGAGGAAGAAAGGTGGTTCCTGGCCCACTTCTTCCCTCTTAATCCTCTGCTTTGCTTGAGTCTTAACCCCAGTGGGGGAGCGTCTATAAATATCCTCGTGTATTCCAGTCTGACATACATGCTTACAAAAAGCAGAAACAGGGATCTGGTTAAAAACATATTTTTTCACTGCTGATCATTAAAAATGTGTGTTTCTATATTACAGAGGAAAGTAACAGTTTCAGTTATACTGTACATTTGATTTTTAAAATAAATAATGTAAGAATTCCACCGAAAATCCGCTTAATACCACACAAAGTATACTAGTACCTAATTCTGTAATAGATTCTACTTCTCAGAGTATTCTAGGAACAAATACATACATAAAGCATTCGTCTAACAATGGAGCGCATGAGGCCTTCTTCTATCATCATCATCATCATCATTATTTCCAAATCAGTTAAACAACCTGTTTTTGGTCGTCCATTTGTGTAAACTAAATGATCATGACTAGCGTACGTTTGTATAACTATAAGAGTATTGAATACATAACAACAGAGACAACAGTCTGTGTCGACACCTACCGGACAGTTTGACCACTTCAAAGAAGCGAGAGAAGAACATGGGCCACGTCTCTCGGGCGTAGTCCACCATCTCTGCCTTCACCGACTCGGCCTTCTGTCTTGAACTGAGGTACGGACCCTTGTGGGATTTAGGGAAAGAATAGAGAGAAGCGTGACTTCAAAGTCCCTGTGAAGACTTTATCCTCGACTTTATTCCTGTGCAGTGGGGAGACTGACCTGAGAATGAGCAGCGCTGACCATTTGCAACCATTTGCCCTCTGACTTGGCCTCCAGCAGAGTGTTGTTCACGCAGTCCTGAACGGCCTCCTTCACGTGCTCTGCGCTGCTGTCGGCGCCGTTCTGGATGTACAGATGCTTTGCAGCCAGCTGGACAAGATCGTCCTCCTGTGAAAGGGAAACGTGAGGGGAAACGTCTCAAATGCATACACGTGGGCACACGACCGGAAGGGGATGATCATCCAAATGTGAGCCCACCTTTTTACTCTGGTACTCGCCGCACTTCAGCCCGTGGATAAACTGTCTGTAGATGAGGTCTGTGCTGATCGTGTCCTCCTTGCAGTCGTGCCAGGGGGTGAAGACCTCCTTGCGGAAGAAGAGACGCCAGGGAGCGTGCTGCTCCTGCCCTCCTCTCCGCTTCACCTCCTGCTCACACTGGGAGATGGCGTCCATCACGTGCTCCCGCCCGCCGCCCAGAGCCCACACCTTCAGGACAGGTCAGCATAAAAGTTACCGGCAGCACTCAATTATCACTTAACTAGTTATGTAAAAAATAAAAATAGGGCATGGACTTGTATTTTCCTCCTCTTTCAGAACATTTCATGTTAAATCCTTGTTATGACGCCTCCAATAACGTTAACTGGGGAGGTCACTCTTGTCTTAGCAATCTGCACTCAAAACATCACCATCCATGGATCGGCTCTGTGCTGAGCTTTGAGGGCGCACAGTGGTGGTGTTTTTTTGCTAAGCTGGACTTCATGCAGGACTCATCAGCTGCAGGAACAAGAACACGTGCGACCAGACGCGACTGCGTACCTTTTCATACAGGGCGACGTACACAGAGAAGCCGAAGGTGTCTTTGAGCTTGACTTTGTTAGAGAGGAGCTGGCAGATCTCTTTGGAGGTGGACGCTGAGTCGACGGGGAGGTTAATGGAGCGTCCGTCCATCAGACTCACAGACACGATCATGGGCTTTTTTGTCTTGATTGCCTATCACGGCACAGAAAAAAAGAAGGAAAATTAGATGTACTGGGCATGCAAGTTCAGAACTGTTAAAGGGTCAGTTTAGGTTTGGATCAAATGTAGGTTCTCTCAAAAAGATTTCTTGCCACCAAGAAAGTTCAGGTCAATAATATAATTGTCTTTGTCGTGCTTACAGCATAGAACCATTCAATAAAAAAATCCACTTCCCTGCCAACATTTGTTAACGGAACTACTTTCATTGAAATCCTCGTCCCGATGAAAATTGCTGACATATGCTGACGGCGCCTCAGTACCTGCAGCTCCAGCCAGGCCGGAGGCTCCCCTCGCACCCCGTTCATGGCCGTGCGCCGCAGCCTTTCAGCACAGTGGGCGGCGTAGCCTCCCGGAGCGAAACGGATGAAACTCTGCAGGTACTGCCGAGACATAAGAGATGAGAAGAGATGAGCGAAACCTCAGCGCGCCCTGCACAGTGTCTGTGAAATCCGGAGCACTCTTACCCTGATGAAGCGATCGCTTGGAGGGAAGATGCCCAAGCAGAGCGACATCAGGATCCAGCCACGGAAGTAGCTGTTGCGAGTGTTGTTGTCTTGAAGCTGCTTGCAGATCTGACAGTAGATTTCGTCCCTGGACGGGCAAACAGACAAATATTGAATCAGCGGGGAATAAAGAAAAATACCGGACATGTAGGTTATTTTCAACAGGAACTTGTGTTACCTGAGCTCGGGTCTGACGATGGCATATCCCACAATGATGTGCAGTTTTTCGAGCACCGTCAGGGGCCGGTCCAGGGTGGGTCCCTCTCCAACCATGATGTCATCGTCCTCGCTCACAGTCTGCAGGGTGGGAGGCTTGGATACTTCGGTCAGGTCATCTGACTGTGAGGAGAAAAAAGACATTTTTCATTTTAAAAAAGTGAATGAGATCTTCGCAGCAGCACTGACACTGTTTTTAAGCGTACGCCTTACCTCCTCCATGATGATGGATGGCTTCCTGGAGCTTTTGGGTTTGGGGATTGTACTTTCTTGGACTGTGGATGCCTTTCTGTTTCTGGACATTAGGTCGGTGAACGTGGATCCCTTTCTTGCTCGCGGGCCCCCCTCTGGCACAGTGTAGCCCCTCGGGCTTTGGGCCGTCTCACCGGGCGCAGTAGAAGCCTTCCTGTTTCTTGTCAGAAGGTCTGTGAAAATGGAAGCCTTCCTGTTCTGCGTCGGCTCCTCGGGTACTGTGGAGGGCTTCCTTTCTTTCTTATTCCTTAGCACCCTCTAAAGCAGGAAATCATCGTTTAAAATCTATGATCAATTACTGTTAATCCGACAGAATTACGTCGCATTGAATATAGCATTTACCTGATCCAGTCCAACCATGTGGCTGAGACGTCTGTCGTTTCTGGACATCAACTCCTGCGGCATAAGTCGTTCCTGCGGGGAGCCTCCCTGAGCCTGGACCCGCTTCTTTGGATCAGGCAGGTCTCCCATGAACCTCAGGATGATCCACCACACAGTCAGAGAAGCCTAGAGATAACGTGACAGAAAACACCATAAATATATATATATATTCCACACAGTTATCAAAGTCAATGAGAAAATGTAAGCGGTGTGAGAGACGCACCAGGACGTCTCCTTCGTCTTCGTGGTACAGCAGGGGCTGCCGAAGCCTCAGGCGGATGTGGCTGTGGGTGGCTGCGCCCTGGAAGTACATGGAGGCAAATTTGGAGAAGGAGTACTCGTCCAAGTCATCGTCGTCCTCTTGGGGGAGACCCTCCTCCATTGGCTGCTCGTCGATGTCTATCTCCTCTGTGACTCTCCCCTCAAATTTCTGAAAGCGTAGAGACGGGCATGTAGTAACGGACTCGACGGGAACCACAGAAGGTGCCAAGCTTCCGCTTCCCAAACCTCGTATCCCACGGGGGCCTGCCCCTCCTGCCCTCCTCCGACCATGCCGGGCAGGAAGTCAAAGATGCTGTCCACCATCTCCTGGTCAGTGATGGACTCAGTCTGAGCTTTGGCCTCCATCTCTTTCCTCCGCCTAAGTATCTCCTCCAAGTGTTTCTGTCTCTCCAACACAGCTCGCTGTTCTTCTTCTTTCTCTTTAGCAGAGAGGTACATCTGAACAAACGCACACAACACAAGAGAAGATCAGGGAAAAAGCTCCATCCCGAGCCTCTTCTTCCTGAAAAATGTCTTTTGCCCAAAAGCCAATAACCACGTAACCCCAAATAACATCTTCATCTTCATCAGAGCAGAGAAAAGTGAAATTAATGGATAGCTGGTTGAAATAATTAGCTAAAAAGTAATAGATATGTGGTCAAAATGGTTAGCTGAAAGTATTAAATGAGTTAATGATTTATTGGTAAAATAGCGAACAAATAAACGGTGGAAATGAGAGATGATTGGTTAAGTTAGCTGAAAGTGGCATATGTAGTCAAAGGTAACACAGACTTAGCTCCCTTTTTCAATTTCAAAATGTTTATTATACTATGCGAAAATGGTTAGACATTTGGAACGTCGCGGGTGGTTACCCTGACGATGTACTTTGGTTCCTCTGATAGGGATGAGGAAGTACAGAACCACATGTTGCACCAGATAGAACCGGTCAGGACTTTACCCTCCTTTATTATTGTCATCCAGAAAGAGTTACTTGCAGTTCTTTCAGTTGAACTTACATCGGTTTTCCTCTTTTTCATAGCCTTCCTTGCCAGCCCGCCCCTGGCGTGGGCCTGCAGGAGGATCACAGCGTCTCTCTTGCGCTTCCATTCCTTCCTGGCCTGGTACCCTCTGACCCGCGCCTGCAGCACGACGGACGCCTTGCGCTGCTTCTCATACCGGAACTGGAGCTGCCGAGACCGAACCTGTGCCTGCAGCCTCGCAAAACCCAGCTGGACCTGGAATTAAATCAGAATTGAAGGGGTTCATTGCATGCCGGCACTTTATTTTCCCTTTGAAAAAATGCTTGTGAGTTAATAAAAGACTCACCACTTTGTACAGCTTTCTTCCTTTATGTCCTCTCCAGCATTTCTGAATGACCAGAGCACCTGCCCTTTTCTTCAAGAATTGTCTCCTTCAGAGGACAAGAGTCATATAGACTTGAAGTTGTTAGTCACATCAGCAAAAAAAAAAGAATAGAAATAAGAAACGACTTTTGTCCCGTACCTGTATTTGTAGGCTCTCATGACTTTCTGGATCACAAGTGCTTTCTCATTTAGCTCTTTCATTCGCTCCACTTCGAGCATGGTGTCATGGAAGTCCTGAGAGGAACATTTGAAAATTCATTATTAGTGGAAATATTGACTTCAGATTATTATATCATAAGCAATTGGAAAACATTTGACCAAATAACATGGTTTGTGAATATAGTGGTGTCATGAGTTAGCATGATAACTAAAAGTACAGCTGGCAGGTGTGAATGGCCTCGGTTTTGCAGATTAACGCCGCCCAGAGATGCATGAAAAGAGAGGATTTGAAAAGTTGTCTTGTTGAGTTTATGGTGATCCATCTGATCGTTTCTGAGACAATCCGCAGCCATCAATACTTACTTAATTTAAATATTGAATTCAAATTCAGTAGTATTGCAATTTAAACAATTGGCTACTCAGGAGTGTTTACAGTTTTACAATTAAGTATTTAGTTAGTGAGATGGCACCTTGAGGAATATCTTTGTCTTGCCACGCTTCCAGTCGCCCTCTTCAGCAAGAATAGACTCACAAATGCTGTCACAGCATTCCTCTTTACTTTTCTGTTGCAGCAAAAAAGAATCATCACACACACACACACACGCGGCAGGAGAATGGGAAAACAGGATATATCACAACATAAACGACCATATTAAAACCTTCAGCTCACTGTTTTGGGATCACAGAGGGTAGTTTTCAGCAGGACTCGGTAGCGATTGAGGAACTCGCTGAACGTGTAGCGTACGGGATATCCGCTCTTCCTGATCCGGATGGTCTCCATCATACCGGAGTAACGGAGCTGGCGCATGCACAGCTCCCTGTCAAACAGCTGAGGGGCAGAAGACGTGTGCTCCGATTTACCTAAATGTTTCATTTCATTTGGGCTCCAAGTGAACATTGAAGCATTATTTTTGGATGCAGTGAGCACGGCTTGTGGCCTTTCCGCACCATGGGCCTCTTGAAGTCGTTGGGTTTGATGCAGCGTATGAAATAGGGCTGGCACACCGTCAGTGTTTTCATCAGGGAATCCAGGGACTGCCGGAACTGGCCGATCAGAGTTGGCACTCGCTTCTTGCCATCCGCCCCTTGCTGTCAGACACAATAAAATGTCAACTAGTGCAAGTAAGACAGCATACTTCTTTTTCTTTTTTTCAAAATTATTTTCCAAACGATTAGAAGGCGTCTCGGACCCGAAGGCTGCTGTTGGCCGTGCTGATGATCATCCTCGGGTTGCCGCTGCTCTTGATCGTACTGGAGGAGAGCGCATTGTGAAACGCCTCTTTGAGGAGTTTATTGGTCGAGGTCTCCATCAGATTAATCAGGTCGGAGCTGTGTGCGTCGCGGTTTTTCTCAAGGAAACCTCAAAAAAAAGATGGACACAATAAGACCATCACACGAGGAGGATTTGTTTGCTTTTTAAAAAGTGTTGCCCTACCATTTGAATCGTAGTGGACCTCTCCAGCAAAATGTTTGACCCCAAACTGTGTCTCGTAGTTGTTCTTGGGGCAAAGATAGATGTCTCCTTTCCCGTGCACCTGGTTCAGTTTGTGGAGCAGGGTGCTATCTGTGCCCTGAGAATGAACAACAAGCGAGTCACAACCTGCTCTTCTCCGTTGCACTAGACTCACGAGGCAGCAGGAGGACAACGACCTTGGGGAAGTTGCTCTCTTCGTCAATAAGCGCCAGCATGTTCAGAGGTTTGTTGGCCAACATGTCCAAGGTGCCCTGGTTGTCTTTGTAGTCGATCTGCTTCCAAACAATGTTCTCACGGGCGTACTCGTCCTGCTCCAGCTTGAAAACGTGCCTGACGAAGAACTGCTGCAACTGCTCGTTGGCGAAGTTGATGCACAGCTGCTCAAAGCTGCAACACATCGACAAAAGCAACAGCACACGAGGTGATGGGTGGACTTCAACATGTCAGCGAACAATATTTCCTGCAGAAGCAAAGGCACTGATGGCTGGAGAGTTGCCGTGAACGCCAACCTGTTTTTGTTGAAATTCTCAAAGCCGAAGATGTCGAGTAAGCCTATTGACTGTCGAACCTCTTCGCCGTCCTCGGGGGGTTTGTAAACGGCGGCGTTGATTTTTTTCACGACCCAAATGAAAAGTCTGCCGTAAATAGCCTGATGATGATGATGATGATGATGATGATGGGTGACAAATAATACACAATATATGAACAAAACAACAAATAAGATCCAGGGATTCTAAAGCAGACGCTCTTCCGTGCCACAGTTAATGACTCCATTGTTACGGATCTCTGCTCGGAGACTAACTTTAGTCTTGTCATGTGTTTTTAGTAATGGTTTATTCGTTTTAACCAGGTGTCTTAACATGGTCTCCCTTGCAAAACAAATACTAAACATTGGTATGCTGCTAAAGCTAACGTGCATAGCATCCCAGCGGGTTTCATTGTAATCCAAAAGTTAGCATGGAAATTAATTAACATAACGCTGTAAAATATTAATATATTAGTATAATACCAGCATGCTATCATATAAAATGACCATTATTCTATTGCTCACACTGTAGATCAGTTAGTGTCAGGCCAACATAACATGAGCATTTCTCAAAATGTAGTCACTGTGCTCTTAGAGTAAACATATGCTGCTCAAATCAATTAGTAGAACTGAAATTTGCTTTGGAAATCCGCAAACCCACATCGCAGGAACCTTTTGTATGTACATGAGGAGTAAGTTCGTATATTCTTTCCTTCTCAGGTTGTTATACTCCAGAGGCCCAAGCAGCAACGTTACACAAGTTACACAGGTTCATGTTCAGGTTTTCTGTTACTCCATCGCAGAACTAGTCCAGTAGATACAAAAATACATTTTTGCTTTTTGAAAACCATAATCAAGGCTGATTTACCTTGACGAAGGCGTCCTTGCCGTCCTTGGCCTGGGCAGAGGTCAGCGGTTTGGTCACACTCTCTCTGCCCGTCATGAGGGAGTGCTGAGTCAGACTCTTCTCCAGTGCTTTGGGTTCCACCTGGAGGTTATGGGACAAACACAATAAGTCAAGATCACTTCAGCTCCTTTTATTTGGATTGTAGACAGAAAAAAAAGAAACTTCTCATACCTCCAAAAGTTGGCTGGCCATGTTGAAATTGGGTGACGTGAGGATCTTACAGGCTTCTAGGTTGTTTACTATGGTGGCTGAAATGATTCAATAAAATGTTTATATATATATATATATTATATTATATACACACAACATGAGTCTACCTCCATGGTGCCGTGCTTACCCTCAAAGTCCACATTGCCCAGGTGAAGGATTGCAGCAAGCAGTTTGCAGATTTCCCAGGAGTCATTCTCAGTGAACATGAGTATCTTCAGAGCTGAACGAAAGTGGGCAAATTCCTTCACATCGTCACGTCCGTCGCAGCTGGTGCACTTCCCCTGTTGATACGAGCACATGGTTTCAAGCTTCAGGCCAACGCTGGTTTCGTCTGGGGTAACCTTTCATCATCACCGTTTGTGGTTCCGTCGAATGTCAATTTCTCTTCAAAATACGTAAATATTGACAGTGTTTTAATCTTATTTAACAGTTTGCTGAATTATTTCAGTACCATGGTGAGATATTTGTATTCTGCAGCATTCCCAAGAGAGAGAATCTTTTTCTGCTCAGCTGGCATGCCCATCAGCATGTAGTAAAAGATGTGGTAGTTTCTTTCCTCGGGCGCCTGCACATTGAAGCACATCAGCTTTAGCACAAGAGAAATCGGACTTGTACCGTGTTTCTGCTCTTGCAAATATATGGCAAACCAATCTTCCCACCTGGCGACAAACTCTGGACTTCTCCAGCAGGTACTGCTCAATGCGGGCCCCTTCAATGGCCCCACCCTTGGTGAAGTTGATGTCAATGTACTTGCCGAAACGACTAGAGTTATCGTTGCGGACGGTCTTGGCATTTCCAAAGGCTGAAAAACGTAGCGTTAAGCAGAGTGAGTGAGACGGGGGATTCAGATGGTTGTTCGGACTATTCTGTCCCTCTGGTTGTGTTTTGCTCATACCCTCCAAGATGGGGTTAGCTTCCAGAATCTGCTGCTCGATCCAGGAGTGCTGGCCGCTCACCGCGGCCAGGAACTGCAACATGAGCTTGGTGTTCTCAGTTTTACCTGCTCCGGACTCTCCACTTGTGGAGGAAACAGAAAAGTAAGCGTGTGTGCAGACCGCCGAGGGTCTCAGAGCCCTGATGATGTGGTTTAAAATGCCTCAACATTAACAAACGGGTTGTACTGGGTTCATGTTTAGGCACAATCTATAACAATGTCTCAAAAACATTGTGTGGAAAATACACTTATAGATACCCCACGTGGACGTTTTGATTCTGTATCCTTAAAAAAGAACATCTCTAACTCACAAACGCTGACTCTTTTGTACTTATAAGCCATTGATTCCCAAGCTACTTACACAATATTGATCTTTCCAACCCTCTGAAGTATTGGGATTCATTAAACCCTCAGGATGCAAAGTGCAGTCTGCTTGCTTGCAAAACTTCCAAACATTAAAACCAGGATGATTTCACTTCAACGAATCACTCCAGCTCCCCACGCGGTCTACGTCGTGCGCCTCAGACAAAAGCAGACCTGATCACGCAGCACTGGTTCCTTTGGTTGCGGCGCATGTTGAAAAAGCAGCTGTCTGCGATGGCGAAGACGTGCGGCGGCAGTTCCCCCAGCCGGCGGTCTGTGTACATGTGCACCTGCTCCACGGTGTAGATGGGCAGCAGCTGGTACGGGTTGACCGCCACCAGAATGGAGCCTGTGTACGTCTTAAAAACAGAAGCCATCGGTCACACAGGGGCACCGTTCAGGAGTGTGAGTGTGCATAAACAAGTTATTATGCTGGCAGCACATCGTGCAGCCAGCGACTGTTTGGTTACGGCAGCAGAGCACGCGATGCATGTTATCACGGGTTCTCTGATCCAAAGATGTCACGGATGGATTATAACCATGAAAAGCGGTGGTTTATAACATACAGAGTCCAACACAAAGGAATATCAGCCTGTCTCATTGTGCCCCGGGCATTTAGCACACAACTAAATGATTCATAATCGAACACACACGGCTGAGCGTTAATGACGTAGGACCACTGGGGCGGTCTCCCTCGACAGGGGCTCATTTGTCTCCATGGAGACAAACGGAACTGTGACAATCTACGGGGCAAAGTCTAGGACAGAAAGCCAATCCACAACCAGGGAGGACACGGACGAGTGAGCAGGTTATGGACATCGTAAAACTCGGCTGTTCGGCGTGTACGCAGGGAGCGGAAACCTACGTAGATGATGCCTTCCTTGTGGCGCACCAGGAGGTTCCTGAGGAGCCCGGCCTCATTCAGGTCACCGAGCCGTATCATGTCGTCCACACCCTTCACAGAGGTGGGGTGCATGGGCCGGATGGCGCCCTCCGTCTTCTTGTTGATCTTGTGCTCCTGTGTGTACGTTATAAAACAGTTGATACATGTGTAGATGGCTGCACACGCCTGTTCTGAACATAACAACAAAAAATACGGTGGAAAGGTTTTGTACCTTTCCTTCGTCATCGATCAGCTGAAACTGTCCGGTGTCCGTCACCTTGACCTCTGCCCCGATGGGGACATGGGCACCAATGTCCACCCATACAAAATCCCCCTGGTTTGGGGAAAGCATATGATAAGCCTTCTCAGATCACAGATCTTTTAAATTATGTGGATGTGTTACTGAGATAACCCTTCTTACCTTACTCAAATGCAGCATTGCAGAAATCTGGATTAAGTCTGTGAAGACATTCTTAATTCAGATTGAGTCACAGTCATTACAATTAACTGAACCTGCTACCAAACCAACATTAGTTAGGTCTGCAGTGTCAGCGTTAGCACAGGACCGGGTCTCAAGTTATTTATAGCAACACACTGCACTCATATTTGGGGTCTTTGAACATGATCCATTTTTTTTTAATTTCTAGTGTCATTTTAGTGTGTACACAATAACGTTCACTTTCAAGACTTCTAGTAATGACTTTATATAGAAGCATGAGATCTGAAAGGAAGTCACAGTGAAAAAACATGCAAAAACACAATGAAGTTACCTCTTTGGAAACAAGAGACACCGTGTTTCTTTGGCTCTTATCTGAGAGTAGTTGGGTCGTTGGTGGGAGCCCCCGCTGCTGCCCCTCAGGGAACGCTGTCTCGTAATGACTTATGAAGCAGGAAGCCGGGACCTTTCCCAGCAAACACCTCTTTATGGCCCTTTGACTTTGCTCCTGCAGAAGGTGGAGCCACCCAGTTTCACCCACCCCCACCCTGTATCATCAGAGCATCCACTTCAAGTGGAAAGATGACAAATCCACAGCTTGAGCACAGCTATCAAACTAAATACAAACATACAGTGAGGACATTACATGAGGCAAAAATCCTAACGATGAAATGTCAAACGAGTATCCAGAACCGGATAGCTGGTCTCAGAGGACAAGCCAGCGTTTCCAGCTCGTCACAGGTCAAGTGCTGCGCTGTAGTTGCCTGCAATCATGTTGTAAACAGCAGATAGTGAAGAGGAGTGACTACCGCCCTTCCTCCTCCTCCTCTCCGTTTATTAGACGGCTCATGACGTCCACACCAGATACGTGGTCTGGGACAATGTTGCCAGCACAACGTGAGCCGCTAACATACACAGAATTGCAGATGCACATTTGCCAGACTTAAGTCCTGCGATCGGTTGGGCTACACTGCACGTTTATATCAGTAATAAGGAAATACCGACGCATGCGTGGATCCACCTCCGTTTTGGCGACAGAAGTTGTTTACTTTTGAAGCGTGTACACGTAAAGCAGAAAGACGCTGAGTGGAGACGGAGCGCCTGCAACGACCACGGCTGTATCGTGGGACCGGAAACACACAACCCAGAAAAAGACAGAAGACTTTCAGTCATTTCTCTATTTTACGTGTGAAAAATAACCAAACCCTCAAATGAAAAAACAGCAATATACAGACTTAACAGCGTGTCTGGTTTAAGTATGTTTACTATAATTACACAGACAAAAACAATGTACAACAGCTGGATGTTTCGGGCTCGCGCCACTCATAACGTTATTATTGTTGGACTCTTCGAAATGAGGCGACGCCACACGGCACGAAATGTTTGAGTACAAAACTGGAAAAAGAACCAGGTGAGTGGAAAACCAAAAAAGCACATTTACAGTCATTTACATGAAGTCAAACCACCAGTGTGATCGCGCGAGGATACTCGGCTCTCTTGTTTTTCAAGCGCTTTCTGAAAGTATTGTTTTTACCACCATGATACCCATTGACATGGATCAGGTAGATGATTCATGGCAGTTAAATGTAAAGTTAACTTGGCATTATACAGTTCTTTTTTTTTTTTTTTTTTACCTCAACGAATGCAAGTATGTCAATATGTTTTGGATGACGGCTAAAGTTGTGGCTGGTAACAAGGTCATATCTCACCCATGCTAGATGAACAAACCTGAAGTAGAAAAACCAGCAGGTGCAGGATGAGGAGAAGCAGTGAAACAGTCCCCACGCTTTGAACGAGATCCTCTGAATGTTTTTGAACAGCTTTCACGCGTCCCCGTTTATTTCGCGCACACCGACAAAATGAAGGCACAGATGAACGACAAGAGCACGACTGACATTAGTCTCCACACACAGCGCTTACTAAAAGGGACTCGGACCATCCATCGGCAACTCCAGACGGAAATACTTCTGTCAATATCTACTGCGTTTAGTGCCAAATATCATGGGATGACACAACGTGCCAGTTTAAACACGTTCTTAAAAGAAAAGGCAGGAGTTAAGTTAGTAACAAAAGGTCTCTGGGATCTTCAAAACTTGAAAAAGAAGAGGGGAGGGGGGGGGGGGGGGCTCTAATGCAACCTACAATTCTCCACGCTCAGTATATGTGCGTTGGGTCTTGAATGAGATGGGCTGGTCCGCTTCTCCAAGCCCTCCCGTCACTTCTCTCGGGCAGATAGGGAGGGAGGCTGCGTGCGATTGTTTGCAGCAAATCATAGCACCAAATTCTCAGCAGCTCCTTCGCCCCCTTCAGAGAGGGGTGGGGCGAGGGGGGCAATAGAGGAGGCGGATTCAAGCTCAGGCGCGCTCCTTGCGCTTCAGTTTGGAGGACTTCTTCACGGCGCCGTTCTTGTTGAGCAGCTTCAGCACTTTGTCCTTGTGGTCGAGCACCTTCATCATGGTGTCCCTGGCCTCGGTGACCTGGTCCATCACCAGCTTGCAGCGCTGCATGTTACCCTAGGGACAGAAACCACCACCGTCAGCTGGGGGGGGACAACCCCTCGGGGAAGGGAGGGCAGCGTTTGGGATGTTTTAGCAGGGCTTGTAAACCTTATTTTAAAGTTGTTGCTTGCCCTTTTCCCCGTAGTCAAAACAGTCGGTTCTGCAGGGGCAACGTTTGCGTAGTGTCGCGTGTGCTATTCTGCTACCTCAGCCTGCAGTTAACAACCTCACCTGTATGAGCTCGTTGATTCGGTGGAGGTCGTCGTCGGAGCCGGCTCTCTTCTTGGGAATCAGGCCCTCCTGAAGGGTGGAGAGGCGGCTGTACACATCGTGCTCCAAACTCGACTATGGATCAAAAAACGAGCGCGTTAGCACAGGTGGAAGGTGAACAACGCTGCGGAGTTACACTGCTGCTGGTCCTCACCAGCTGCCTGAGCTGTGCGGCGCACAGGTGGATCTTCCAGCCTTGTGCTCGGCACGCCACTCCTCTCTGGTTGGCCATGTCCTGCAAGTTGCCCTTCTTCTCCTCTGAGGGACGAGCAAACCGTTAGCCGGTGGTTAGCAAGGAAAGGTTCTTGTTCACCGTATAAGAGAAATGGGCACGAGAGCTACTGACCTTTGACCCGGATGTCGCTGTACCTCTGGAAGTGGTGGTAGGCGGCTTTCCAGGGGTTCCTGTAGTGCCGCAGAAGAGTAACAGCCGGCCGAGGCCTGACTGGTACATAACGCACACCTTCCTCGTCTGGAAGACAAAAACAAACGAGTGCTGATTACATCCTCATCACTTTTTGACAGAGGTTGCCGTCACCTTACGCACCAACATATTCCCTCGGTGGAGACTCGCGCCTCTCCGCCCTGCCGGTGGCGGGCCTGCCGGGGGCCTTCTCCTCATCCGTGCTGTTGGTCTCCATCATCTCGCTCTCCTCTGTGGAAATGACGTGCTGCTGCTTCCGGGGCTTCTTCCTCGGGGAGGACCCAGGTATCAGGTCTCCTGCGGCGGGAGCGCTCAGGGTGGAGACCTGTGTGGTGAGGGCTGGTGCTGACGACGAGTTTGCACTGAGATCTGAGGGGAAAAGTCACACACGTTGTTCACTGGGGTGTGTGTGTGTGTGTGTGCTGCGGTTTCCTTGCGTTCCTTTGTTTCAACAAACAAATGCGACCGTACCCGGCTGCGAGGCGTCCATGGTCTCCATCTCCTGCTTGATTTTCAAATTGGGGCAGGCGGAGCTGGCGGCACAAGCTGCGGTGCTGCTGGCGGCCGGCTGAGTGGGGGAGGCCACGGCGTTGGCCGTTGAGGCGGGAGCCGGGGGTGTTACGCTCAAGGCCGCGGGCAGCGCCGAGAGGACAGTGGAAGCCAGGGAGGGAGGCGCCGGCGTGGCGAGCATGGCGGGGATGGCTTGGGCGAGGTGCTGGGCGTTTGAGGGCACGGCCTGCTGCTCTCCTCCCTGGGGAGGCAGGGCCTCTACGCTAGCCATGACCGGAGGGGCCACGGTCATGTGCAGCTCAGCTTTGGGTTTCCCACTGGAGGAAGGAATGGGAAAGGTCAGGGGTTACAGATTCATAACTTAGAACGGGTGGATATGGCGGATGTGAAGGAGGAGGCTCACCCTGCGGGTCGGGGAGACCCGGCCCCCCTCACGCCGCTCTCCATTCGGCCCATACTGGGTTCACTGGGCTGAGCGGGAATCAGGTTTTTGCGAACACATCTTAAAACACAAAGATGAGCAGGACCATTGGTGAAAAGTTAAAACATTCCCAAGGTGGGGGAATTTAATCCAAAAAAAGGGGAGGGAAAGTAGAATAATCCATCGTACACATGAGGCTGGGTTCAGTTTAATTGTATCGGTGGTAACTTCAATTTGGAGTGAAAGGTGAAAAGTTGGAGGGGAAATGAAGACGGCGTAGAGATCAGCGGTAATCAGCAAAGACTCCACACGTCACAAAGATGCATCATAGCAAAGAGCACAACACCACTTTTCTCCTCGTCGACATTCTTTCATTTAAAAACCCCAAAACAAGTTTGCAGGTATGTTAAATGACTCCTTAAATTTAGCCAAATCTCACAAAACGCATAGCTGCTCGTCAGCAGGAGGTTGAAGTCCATAAAGTTTGAATACTCACATTGGCTTGTGTGAGAAAAAAATAGAGTCAAGAGGAGCCGGTGTGATACTCACCCTTCATTAGCGGGTTTTTTGCGGAGGATGCTGGGCCTGGGGGAGGAGACCAGGGTGGGGGCTCCTCCTACTCCGCCCTGGGCGTGTGCCTGCACCATGGTGGCCGCTGGCTGGGTGTTGCTGAACGTGCTGCTGATGGGGCTCGCAACAAAGCCGTCGGCCAGAACGACCCCTGGTGGAAAAACAGAAGGCACAGCGGTCACGGGCGACGCACCGGAGCACGCAGAGTCGCTGCGGCGCACGCCGGGGCTCCGCAATTACCGGGTTTCGCGTCGGACTGCGCTTGCTGCTGCTGAGTGACTAGCGGCGCCTGCTGTAATCCCTGCGTGCCGAGCGGCGCAGACGTGTGCATGCCCTGCACTCCCATCTGCGCGGGTTGGAGGCCCTGACCGCCGATGGCTGCTGGCTGGATCCCCTGCGTGCTGATTTGCCCGGACGGGAGGCCGATCCGATCCACCGCCATCAGCTGCATGTGGTTCAGCTGGAGAGTGGTGGCAACGCCGACTCCGGCTTGGGAGGACAATGCTGGAGTCGGAGCTGGAGGAGTCACTTATGGGGCGGGACAATACTAGTTAGAAATCGAGATCCTTGTGCTGTAAAGTTACAGTACACACTTCATAGCAACAATTTATAATCAAAAGCTTTTGAATGTCAAGTAAAATAATCAGTCACCACAGTAGCTATGCTGTGCCTCCCGGCGAAGCAGCCGTGGTTAGAGGGGCTTACCAGGATACTGGCGGATGGTGGACACAGAGCTGCTGATGGGGGTGTATGTGTGCGTCAGAGGGTACGAGGAGGAGTACGTCGGCAGGAAATACTGGAACTGCACAGGGACCGGGGGCCTTCGAAATAAAACATACCAGTTTAATCCAACATTCATCGTCATCTGAATAAAGTCTCTGTAATCCTGAGGTCAATAAATGTTGATCAAATCGAGTAAAGATTATTTTCAGTAACAGCTAGTTCTGCCCACCCTCTAAAGATAAGCAGTATAGAAGGTGATGACAAGAAATTGTCAAATTTGCCAAGAATACAGATTCCATTTAATTTTGTTCGACGTTAACGTAACGCGTCAACTGGCCAAATTGTGCACTCACCTGTTATCACTCCTTGCTTCCATGGTGACGGGGTTAGGAGATGAGCGATGGCCTGGGATGGGGATGAGGTTGGTTCTCTCTCCGGGGTAGTCGGGCTGCACACGGGACGAGGAGTGGGCGATCGGCTGAGGGACGACTTTAGCTGTAAACCACACGGAGGATCGGTTGAGAGACAAAGACCTATCGAGACGCACTGGGAACTGATTGAGATGGAAGCTTCCCGCTTACAAAGCACGCAACAACCATGGCGACCAGGCGGTCCGCTTACCAACGGGGATGGCAGAGGTGGTCACAGCCGCAGGATGAGACGAGTGGGAGGCCATCGTCATGGTGACGATAGAGTTACTGGTCATTTGGCTGTGAGGCACAGAGCCTAAACATGAACAAGGAAGGTCTATAATTAATAACATGTTGTGTTCCTTCGGTTGAACATCAATGTTTTTAGACCTGCTATGAGGCATATATGTTTTTATATATATACACGACAGGTGAATACCCATTGTGGTGGTTGATGGCAAAGTGTTGGTGGCAACGATTGGCGCCACAGTTGCAGCAGCTACTGCCGTTACAGGACTAAAGATGGGCTTCTGCGAGGGGCCAAATAAAATCGAGCGGTTATTTCAGTCACTGCATAAAAAGGGGCTGTTCTTTTGCACAAAGCCATAAAGTAAGCCGTAAATGTAACCTGTGTCATGGTGTGCGGAGGCTGAGGTTTTTGGGCCCCGATCGCCGGGTGGGATGGCAGCGTGATCCGTGTGCCGGTGTCCCGGGATGTTTGAGACCTCTGAATACTGACGGTGGCTGAAGGGGGGTGAATGGTCAGCCCTGGACGCCTGGGGGGGGAATAAAAATAAAAAAGTCTGCCCCTTTAATTCACAAGTCAGGCACAGCTTGATAAAAGTCCAGACGGAAGGGCAAATGCAGAAGAACATATTACACAAAATTGTTAGTGGCTTTTCTTTTACAGTGAACACTTTCACCGCATCGGCTCCGGCCCAAGTTTTCTTGTTGTTTTCTTTCAATATCCATGAAATTGTGGCCGTTGAAAGCACATTAAAAATCAGCGAGCTAGCCGGTTGCTAAGTTAAGCAGATCATTTGTTAGTGGGGGGTTTGAATTAAAAGGGTTCACAAACGGACCCATTGGGCAAAATTCCTAATGTTTTACAAATTGCTGTGAAGCTGCACTGGTTAAAACACTTTATCCACAAAGAACAAAAAATACTTTTAAGGAATCAACAAGCTAATAGAAACAAAGCTTCCCATGAAATCACAACAGGGACAGGTCAACTAAAACCGTAGTTTCTACTTTGCTGTTAAACTCCTATTCATGCAGGACCTTGGTTTTTTCATCACATTGTCGGGACTGCTTCTTACCCATGTGTCACCTCAGAGTGTGTGACTGTAGGGTTGACGACCGGGGACTGAGTTCTGGAAATGGGCGCCACCACCGTTGGAAGCACTGCTGTGGACGTTGTCACGGCGGGGCGGGACTGCGGGGGGGATGACACCGGTTTCACACAATGTTACAAATGAGTGCCGCAGGAATGAGTCCTCAAACCTCAATCCTTAAATGAGTTGGCATTTGTGCAGCTTCCCTCATCTCAAAGTCAATGCATGCTTGCCACAGAGTTTATATTATCAGCATTAATCCTAAATCCAATTGGAAATATCCCATTGACCTCGCGGAGGAAACCGGTATGATGCCATTCAAAAATATGCCATCCCTGCATCACTCAATGACAACATGTATTTGGATGACAGCACCCAGTTACCTGAATTGTCTGGTGGATGATGTGCTGCACTGTGGGCTGGCCAGGGCACGCATTTGCTCCGGTGGCTGGCCGCAGGACAGTTTTGGAGCTGGACATCACGGCTGCTGCAGCAGCACCTGCAGAGAAAGCAATAAGGAGATGTAGAGGAATGCATCGCCACAGATGACTGGTAAAACGACCGTTTCGGAAGGGGAAAAGTCTGCCACGATGTTCTTAGTACGTCATGCATACCTCGGGGTAAGTGGGAGGCGAAGGTCTGGGCGGGCACCGCAGGGGTCCCGATCTGCAGTGCCGGGGCACTTCCCCTGATGATCTGAATGTTCGCTGGCATCAGGTGATGCAAGTTGCTTGAGTGACCCTGAAACACAATAAAAAGGAGCCCACAACTTCTGTCATCAGCGAGAAAGAAACAATGACGCAGACAGACAGCCAGCTGACCGGGCACTCACCTGCTGACTGCTGATGGTTGCCACGGGAATAGAGGGGGTTGGAGGAATACTGCTCTCTAAGGTGACCGTAATGTGACCGGGCACCTTGGGGGGGATGTGACCCTGGTTGGAAGCTGGTGCTGGAGCGATAAGACGACTTGGCATGGGGGACTTCAGGACTGCCTATACAAACAAACAAATGTTTTTCTTAGCCCAGAGAGCATTGTGAAAAAATTATGTTAACGTACAATGTTGCTGTAAAAAAAAAAAAAAAAAACATAACCCTAATTGTAAGGTTAGACATTGTGCACATGGCCAGTTTCCTAATTTAAGATCATAATTAGAAATCCAAGTCCTTTCAGTTTTACGGGCCCTAGGAAAAATTTGTTTTATTAATATTTGAATGGAAGGTGTATTCAATCTCACAAAAGAATAAAAGCTATCCAATCTTATAACCATTATAGAATATTGAAATTAAAACATCAACACATCAACTACATTTTTAAATTGATTGATTACTGCTTCCTAAATAAAAACTTTTTTAAAGAAACTGTTTTTGAATCTTTTATTAAGCTATTAACAGAACTGAAATAAATACATGTTCTAGTCTTCAGTATAAAGTAAAAATTAATATCTATGCCAAATGTATTTAACAGTGTTCATCTCACACTGACCACAACAAAGACAGCAAATACCTGTATTATTAACAATCAGCATTATGGTAATAAGCATCACCTTCATCTGTCCCTCAGTGAGGACAGCAGGCTGTCCTTGCTGGAGGTGGACAGAGGCGGCGGGTAAAGTCACAGGTGTGCCGGGCTGAATGGACACTGTCTGGGGGACCGCCTGTGTCTGGCTGTGCGTCTGTACTTGTGGGTAAGGTCGGACCACCATTGTCTCCTGCTTCTCATCTCTGAAGGCCACGGCCCCCCCGGCGGGTGGGTGGTCCTGCTGCCCGCGGTCTGCATCCCGAACGCAGTCGGCGCCTCCACCACCTAAGCAAAAGGAAATGGTTCGGATCGGATAGCATTTACTCACAAGCTTCTTCCTCGACGAGTGCACGTCACGGAGACAATCCTTTACCTTGTGAATGTGACGCCTGGTTGACGGACACCAGGTTTCCAGCTGCGGGGACCTGAGGAGCCCCCCCGCTGGGGGCTGGCAGCCCGTGTCGCGGGAATTGCTGGGAGCTCATTTTAACCAATTATGACCTAAAACAGCATCAATATGGGACATTAATTCCAGTAGCAGACATAGCGTGGGTACCGTTAAGGTTTAAAGTCGGTTAACAATCGCGCTACTGTTGAGAAACACGCGCAGCGGCTGCAACAACAAAAGCCGGGCTGTTTAACCCTTTGCGGGCCGCGCGGGGACACAAACAGGCGCTGCAGAGCCGCGTTACCAGCTGGCTGAAGAACCGGGGCGAGTCCACAGAACCGACGTTAACCAAAGAGTGTTAACACGCAGCGGTACCGTCCTAAATAGTCCGTTTTAGCATCGAAGGACAACAACAGCTTTGTGGACCTTTTGTTTTTATCGTTATGTGGACGAAAACATAACGACTATAAACTGGACCGTCGCTGATATCAAATATCAAGTTTAAGAAATGATTTCTCAACTGCCTGGGCAAATGTGACCAAACGCGATGTCTGCTCAGTAATGTTCACCGTCGTCCCGCTTTTGGTCCGGTAACCTTACAACTAAGAAGCTACCTTGTTAGCCAGCTATCTTAGCTAGCAGAAAGCTAACGGTGGAATCGCTAACCCCGCCGCCGCCTGCTTTTGGTGCTAAATCCTGAACTTTCCACAGAGTACAACGACACAAACTTTAGAGGGCTACTCAAACAAGAAAGTGTCTACGTGTGTGCAGCTTTTACCGTATTACGGAGGTACTAAGCAATGGTCGTTTTATGGATTACAATTTTTTCCATTCGTCTTTTCTTTTTTCCAACATATAAGCCGGAAGAACGCTCAAGAGGAACCGGACCTCCCTGCTTCATTCAACCAATTAGGGACGACAACATCAGATCACTGACCAATCGGAGCCCGGGAAATGTTTTGACAAACGTAAAACTGCCCTACGAAGGATAGGTCGGCGCGGGTCACGTGGTCAACGCGCAAAACCAGAGTCACGTGGTCGACGGAAGCAGCCGAGGAGGCTGGTGGAGCACCGGAGCCGCAACGCTTGCTCCACCGTTAGTAAATTTTATTAACACAAAATGAACGTTACACAATACTGTTCAGTAGGCGGGAGACAGTAATGTTTTTAGTGAATCGACTAAATACAAATAAACGCCCTGCGTTGATACTATACGATAAATAGTTTAGAAAAAGAAGTTCACCGAGTAGGTTACCACGGTTAGGTTGTATGGTTTGGTTGGTATTATTGATTCACAACATGTACACCAGATTGTAGCTTGTTGATATATTTGCAGCATATTTAAACTTGTTAATAATACATGTATTACGTGACAAATAAAAGTTCTTACTCTACAATATATGATTATAAACGCTATGTTTATAATCCAGCTGTAGTAGTACAAATACTTTAGTACAAAATATAATATTTTATATTGATTGGCAATGAACTTGATGTTTAAGGTTAACTAAACTTCAAGTTTCTTCGAGTTTCTCGGTACATATAGTTGATTAAACATACTTATGAGTTGTTTCTAACAGTGACATGTCTGCGTATTTGATGGTGTTAAATGAGTTAGTTTACCGAGGTTGGCTGTCTTCGACTGTGACGTAAACATGCTGGTGGGGGCGTGGTCACCGGAGAGCAGGCTCCCGCTCTACGATCTGATTGGAGGAGGCTGTTCGCTCCCTGCCAATAACCCAAACTGGAGTCCTCCCAGTGGCCCATTGCTAGTAGCGCAGTACTTCCAGGGAGGCGCTAGAGGGCAGCAGCCAGCCTCTGTTTTGTCTCACATCTACATTGTTTTATTCTATAACGTTGGCAATTATAATATTATATAGTTGGAGGCTTCAAATAAGCCACGTGTGTTTTCTGCTTCTTCTTGCACTGTGATATTGTCTATGTTTGTGGAACTAAAGCCAAGCAAAGGCTAATGTTATTAATAGCTTATGTGCTTTGGCCGATCAGTCGGCATTGCTTTTATTAATGTCCGTTTACCCTTTATGAATATATTGGACATTGTTCTGGAGATGTTCAGTCCACTTTTCAAGACTGCACGGAATATCGGCTCATCTCAGTAACAGTGGGTTTGCATTAGGCTACTGTGGTAGTACAAATACATTTTACTTTTTTCTGGGTGTTGGTCAAAGATATTAAAATGATGTGTACCTTTCAGCTTCACCATTTCTCCCGCCATTCAATCGAGTATCTTCACATCTACAGCTAGCTAAAGCCATTTTTGCCATGTAGGATGTAGCATGTAACATATACGTCTGCCATTCAGTGTTTGGGTTATTAATTGTTGGCATTTTGTTATGAACTATAATAAATAAATAACACATTTTCCTTCTGGGAAATAAAGGATGTCCTTTGACCATCAACAAAAAAAGTCACATTTTGCCACTTATACACAGTTTTTCATCGCCTCCAAGATTTTGACCTGGAACATTAAAAAGCCTGTAAAATAACGAGGAGAAGTTTCTTCAGCTGTGCTCACACACCCAAATACCCCCGTTTTAACTGAGAAGTTGTGAGACCCTCATGACAAGCATTCTTTTGATATCACTGCGGATTACTTGAGAAATTGTATTTTCACAGAGAAGTAAGTAGATACAAAAAATGTCTCCTAAACGAAGGAAAAGGAATCAGCCTTTTTGCTTGTTTGGTTTCCTTGCTTTTATTATAATAATAATTATAATGCATGAATACAACCTGTCACTAAATACCCTTGTTGTGAGATTTGAAGCTTTTACGCGTCTTAAAACAAGCGGCTGCTAACAAGTGACTAACCCTGATTAGTCCGCCTTTACTGCCTTGTTGTGGATACTCATGTGACCTTGGTGTTTGCACTTATTATAAGTCGCTTAAGCGTCAGCTAAATGACACGTAATGTAATATGTTGTTGGTTTATAGCCTAAATTTGAGCTTTTTACTTTGGCAAATTCTATAATCATACAAGTGAATAATTTGTGAAGACTATCTTGCTGAACCAAGGATTTGGATTACTGCAGAATGTTTATACTCTGCAGCAATCCAAAATCATATTGTCATCTGTGTCAAGGAAACCACTGTTTTCAGAGGTGTCCCACAAAGATATATCATCCCCGCAGCACTCCGTAAGGAAGTGTCAAGGAGAAGCTGACCAAGTTGTCATGAATTGAGCAGAGTAAGACAAGCTGAGACTGAACTGGAGTGACATTCAAGTATTAACACGTGTTGACTGATGTGGGATTTTCAAAGTCACGCTGACTTATCCAATCCTAAAAGTCATCGTCTTAGTCTGATTCTTTTCCATTTCACACCCAAGTTCCACAGCTCATGTGTCTACACTGCGCATTACTCATTGGCATTGTAGACTTGGAGAAGCAGACTTTTCAGCGGTAACCAGCTTGCACCTGGCTGCACAGCGCTCGGCCTGTGGCGCTGACTCAGGTGCCATTGTCTTGAGTTAGCCTGGAGATGTTCCTCCACAGTGCGCCTCTCTCTCTGTGCTGCTTCAGACATCCAACATTTTGACTCATGCATCCATTCCTTTCTCTATGGTGAATCAGCTCAGGCTGTTTAACAGCCACACGGGGAACCTGGTGCCTCATGCATGTTTATTGAACTTGTTTTCTTATTTACCTACGCGTGGGAACAGAAAAGGCCTAGTTATTTAAATAATTGTTTTCACCGGTAGTAAAATAATTAAAGCCAGTTGAGCCTCGTCTTATGAAACATCACTTTGTTCTTTATTTCACAAATAGTCTAAAACCATGCCTGGTGGTTGTTTTATATATGAGCAGACACATGTTTAAAGAAGTTCCATTTGTTCTGTTCTGACCCATTGGCACCGGCAGAAAGCCCTGTAAACACAACATTGACATATCATAACCCTTAAAGATCTCGCAGCCAACAGACAAACAGAAAAAATGTTCTTATGAAGTTGTGTTTCAAGTCTACTCATTTCAAACCATCACTGTCTTTTGAGGTCTTGGCTCAGAGACTGAAAGAGATGAAGCATCTGGCTCTTTCGTTGTGAAATGCTCCTGTGATCTGGCACTGAAAGAGGCCCCGCCCCCAATTATGGCTAACTTCAAGCCTTCAATCATGTATAATTGTAACGAATGGAGAAATTAGCTGAGACAAAAACACAATGTTTTGTGCCAGGCTTTAATAAACATATTTATTTCCGCTGTGATATCGGCTCCTTTAACATGGAGGTCGGTGGGGGCCGTGCCTCAAGCGGACATTTTTGACATTCTTTTCTCAGCAGCGTAGGTTTCTGCTCGGCCTCCGTAGATATCTTGAAGCGCGTTTTGTGGATTTCTTTCAATTGTTGCAGCTACGGCCGTGAAACCCAGGCGGAAGATGCTAAACCACGCTGGTTCACCTCTACGAGTGAGAAGCGGACGGAGTGGGTTACAGAAAAGCAGAACAGGTGTGGTTCTGTTGCTGCTGCTCAGCCACAGTCCACACCCAAAGAAAAACAACTTCATTCCTTCGGCTCAAAAGCCACACTGTCGCATTTGACACGTGCCGGGAACTTTTTGATGCAAGACGCCTAGCATCTGAGAGGGTTTGCTTCATCTCAGTAGCAGCCTTAAATTAGAAGACGGTGCCCTGATTTCTGTGGAAAACTTATGGGGGCGGCTACACATTCCACGCCTGCTGCAGGCAGAAAGTTTTGGAATCTCCATGGAAAATAAGGCAAAACAAAGAGCTCTGCAGTCAAGTATTTCGCCTAAGATTTCAGTGCATATGGTCCTCCAAAGGAGAGGGATGATTTCTTGCCAACCGTCCCTTCTTTTGCTGCCAGACCGAGTAATTCAGATTTCGACACAAGTGGCGCATGATTTGAAAAGCGGAATGAATGTGAGAAAGAAAAGCAGGGGAGCATGTTGATGCACATTATTTTCAAACAACTTTATCTCCTTTTTCTCAGAAAAATCTCATTGGCATTCTTTCCTTGATGCACCACGACCGAAGGGAGACATATTCACAATTGCCGGGAGTCAACGTGGTGAAATAAATACAACATTCCCTCTTGTATGTTCGTCTGGAATTCCTTTAAATGTT